ACTGATGGTAGAAATTCTGTCGCCGCCTTTGCTAGGTTAAAACATTGTGCATTTTTATCATGGGGGCTCCCAGAGATGAATAGAGTTGCTACAGCGTCACGTTGCCATGAGCCCTGTCATCCCCGTAGAATGATATGAGCATAACACTAAATTCTCCTGCGCGGACGGAGGGATCTCCGGTAAACTGTCAACCTCCCCACGTCGAAGCGACTACGTCATACTGTCCTGGCAATATTCACTTATTTCGGTTGGCTTAAAACACCCTAGATTTAGAAGTTGTTCTTGGCACGATGAGTCCCATATACTGAGAATAGATTTTTTCCGGCAATAAAAGTGAGGAATTAGGTAGTTCAGTCAGTCGCTGGACAGGCACTTCCCAAACTACTGTCGATTTCTCGAACAATGCTAAACAACAGACCCCAGCGACTGACATAGGCTTTGAAAAGAAATGAATACAAACGGAGACTGTGGCAGAAGTCTCTTGTTCATAGGAATCTCGTGCCCTCCAGTACATGCAAAAAGCAAAATAACCTTGCCAAATGAATTATCCTCGAAACACGGTGAGGGTTTGGAATGAACCTGCTAAACTGTGTCGTGAATAATCCGAAGTTATTCTGTGGTTGAATAAAGACGACCAAGCGGAACGGAGATTACATTCCCCTCCTAAAGTGTAGTAAAGAGTCAGAAATTAGTGAAGACGGAGTGATGGAAGATCACACTTCGCCATTTTCAATCTTTTAAAGAGAGAAGTGAATTTATTACTCAAGACTACAAATTGAGGCAAATCCAACAAGTGAGACTTTACCAATCTTCCGAAGTGATTGTTCACATAAAGCTCCGTCGCTGGAGTCCAAAATATTCAGACTGGGCTGAAATGCCGACAGAATTTGTATTTTGCCTTTTTTTAACGATGTATCAGAATTATTTCAAAATGGTAAGCCCTTCATATATGTCGATGTTCTGAAATTTGCATATCGATATAAGCCTTCAGATCATGACATCGTGCTTGAGCTCCTAAAGCACACGGGCCTTTGCCCAGTGGTGCCGCACATGGCGCCCTTCTCTTTCTTGGCATAAGTGCTCAGTCATGGTGGTTGACGACGACCACCAACCTCAACTAAGCATTGACGGTCACGCCTTAAATGTGCCTGGGATTATAAGGATCTGGGTGTATCATACTCCAAGAGCTTCAATCTTTCGGTGCACTGCGCCTTGATAGTCTTTAAAGCATGCAGAACGACCGGGCTTATCCTCCGAAACTTTTAAACCAGCGATATTAAAATGCGCCTTTATAAAATGTCTGTTCAACCTGGCCTGGAATACTGTTCGTATTTATTTAACCTCATGCGTGCTGCTGAGCGGAAGAAGATAGAATCCGTCCAACATTTTTTACAAGGAGAGTTTTAACCCCACGAACACCGACATTTGTCTTATCAAGAACGTTGCCGGCTTACAGGCCTTGATCCTTTATGGCTCCGTAGATTACAAAAGGGACTATTTTTGCTATTTAAACTCTTATATAATCACACGTTTAACCCACTCACTTCTTTAAGACACCATGTCCACCCACGACGTAACAGTCACCGTGAGGTCTTTTTATTTCTTAATCTGGCACATACCGTTAAGTATCGTCGATTCTTTTCTGTAAATGCAATTGCTATTCGGAATAAACTATCCAGGAATGTGAAAACTCTGCAAAATTATCCTTTGTTTAAGAGAAATATTACTCGATTTTTGCATCCAGAAAAACTCCGACAAATTGTGGGTGCTGAATCCACAGGTCAACTATACCGTAGCGATGGCGTTTGTGGTCTCTGATCTCTAGGACCGGTTTCACTATGAACAATTTGTTTAGCCAACAACGACAGCTGTTCTTTGGCGCTTCTGTTTGGACCAGCCCCAACTTCATGAATAGAATTGGCGACTGAAAGTATCCGATAAAGTGAACCCTCCCTTTCTTGACTGTCGGCCTTTCATTGTCAGCAGTTTTTGTCTCCTGAACCCTACCAACTATAAAAGCCATCATAGACTTTATTTTTATCTCTTTTTGGAAAGAGTTTTTTTTCACTGCTGTTCGGATTTGTGTTTAACGCTTCCCTGGCAATGCCTGTAAACTGGCATTAAATACAATTATTATAATTTGTGAAAGTGCTTGGTAGCGAACAAGCTAAACCGCTCTCTATGTTTTTAAGTCAGTATATTTATTAGAGGAACAAGGCTTATCCATCGAGCTCCATAGTCATTTTGGGAAAAACAATAGCACCAATATTTATAGTAGTAATTTTGGAAGGCTCGTAGTCCTCGGTAGTTGCGAGCCGAGCGAAGATTGCAGCCACCGATAAAAACGTGATTATATTACAGTATTTTTCAGCAAATAAGTATCTGGTCTGGATTTAAATGGCTCACCAGTGTTTATAAACACAATCGCAGCAGGCCGAGAACTGGTTGAAGCCTGGGGCCCGGATGAAAACTCAGTCAACGGATTTATAGATCTGTCGCCGACGTACAAAGCTCTGCACAATCAGCTCCAGTCTTGCACCGTCAGTCGATGATTGGCCTGCATGCCTTCTGTTACTGCCACTATCTCTGCAGGAACCCGAAAGCTCAGGACAATAAGCAAAGTGTTCTGGTGCTCGACCCCTCTTCTTCTTCTTCACTTATGAAACACCTGGAACTCAAAATTTCGCCCTCATTCGTCAAATAACCCTTTGCGAAAAGGCGTTTCTTTGAAGTCCGTGTGGGTCAGCCTCATCTGCAGTTTGAAAGGATGAAACGCGGATTAGATGCGAATTTCACTGACGGTCTGTTTTTTCAAGGTTATTCTGCTAGCGCTGTTTTATTTACTCGGTGTTTCGTGTGAACGGGCTTTCTGTAAATCGACTACTCAATTTTCCACGGCTACAACTATTTTTGAAGTCTTCAGAATTTTTCATTTCTTTAACGAAGTTGATTTTTGTAAACAACGCGATATTAATTTTACTATATTTTCTAGTAATAATAATTTAATTTCATGCCAGTTTACAGGTAGTGTCGACAGAAGATTCCGTTCAGATCGAGTTGGCAGTGAGAAAACTCCTCCGGACACAAACACAGATGGCAGTGTTTTTGTATAGTTTGGATGGTTCAGCAGAAAAAATTATAGTCAGCGAAATGACGTCAGATTACGAAGGGAATGCTTAACATTTCATCGGATTTTTTCATTCGCTATTTATTTTCGTGGAATTAGGACCCATGCACCAGACAGAGTACATAGGTGAACAATAGCTCGCTGTGAGCGGAAGAACTCATCTTTTGTGTTGCCGGCTGCAGAATCAGTACCATTTCTCACTAAATGAGACCGGACAAAGGGATCAGAGACCATGATCTCCATAACTACGAAAGATGAAGCCGGTGTACTCAGCGCTGGAATTTTGAGTTTTTCTGAATGCAGAAATCGAGTGGCAATTCCTTAAACAAAGAATTGTTTTGAAGAATGTTCCCATTCCTGCTTAACTTATTCCAGATTGCAGCTACTTTTTATTATTCGTTTAAAGTAGCTGATTATTAATTCAGAGTTGCCGTCCACTCATTTATACCGCTTTGCTAGTGTTTAGCGATTTTTTGTAAATTTCAGCTTTTTTGCGAGCTAGGGCACTTACTGCCCGCATGCGACAGTTCGAACGCCGCTTCCGACAATGTCCACCGTTTGTAGAGATGGACGATTTCCTCATCCTTAAGGCCACATCTTCAGTGCTTCGTTTACGCGGTGTGTGCTACAGTCGACGACTTCGGCCGCTGCACTGCGGCTGTCCGACCCATTCACTTCGCCAGAGACGGAGACCCTGCCGGATACCGTCAAGCGAGGTTTTGAGTTGGGCATCTCTTCGATATCACCATGTGAGTAACGGCGCCGGGTCGAGGGCAGCAACCCCGAGTTCGTGAGATGGACGACAAACGACGAGTCAAGCCACCACACTTGTCTTTCTTAATTGGTGTGAGGTCTCTTTTCGGTGCTGTCGCAACTAGTGTGGACTGTCTCACATGAGACAAATTTGGTGTACTCCACTCAAAGGACGGTTCTCAAACAATGGTAGTTCAATACCTCCAGTTTTCACTCATTCTCCACGCGCGCAAACCACAATTCACCTCTGCAAAGAAGGACTGACCGGGCGAATGCCCTGTACACGCGAATTTCCATGGCGATGAAGATATCGCGTCGAGCCTATAGACACTTTGGAAGTCTTGATTAAACCCTGCGGGATCCATCGATCCGAAAAACAGTTTCGTCCTTTCAGTTTTAGTTTATTAAGGGAAATATAGGCAAGCGCCTTTGAACTCCCTATTGGTTACAAGTCGTCGGAGAAAAACATTGATAGTGGGAAGGTGAAAAAAGGGGTTTTGTACATAATCGCTGACAGCTAGTTAAAAAGAGTAATCAATAACGGTTTCTAAATAGTTACAAGTAGTATAAACAAGTATAAGTTGGTGCCCGTTATGTGAGTGAATGTAAGGCTGGTAACGGGGAGGCTTGATGCGCGTCAAGTCTACTCTTAAAGGAATTCAAACAGGAGGAGGTTGCAACATCGGTAGGCAGGGCATTCCACGCTGCAACCACTCTGTGACTGAAGAAGAACTTTCTTCCATTCCTTATTCCACAAGTTTAAACTTAACAAAGGGACATCATCAGCGTAGTCGAAATCAGTCGGCTGGCGGCCGGGTATAAACGTAACTTCGCAAACTTCGCGTGGAAGGCTCTTCAAAAACCAATCAATGATGTATTTAGACAGAATAGGCGACAGGATACAACCCTGATAAACGCCAGACCGAATATCGAAAAGTTGGGAGGGATTGTTGTGGACTGGAACTCACCCAACGGTTGGGCGTTGGTGGGCTTTGACCATGTTAATGCTCTTGGCCGGCACACAACTTGGTTTCACTAGTCGCCACACCGACTCGCGATGAGGGGGACTGAGTGCAGCGACGGAGTCAGCAAATCAGACGACCGTCCGTTCCCGATAGCTATGGTGGAATTCGAGAATGTTAACATCTGGGCCGGCACAACCAAGCGCAACTCTGAATCCGGCCTAGTTAGGCCTTGTTCTAGAGTCACGCCTAAGAAGGACAACAGCGAAGGCCCTCGCAGCAACGCCGAGGAGGCTTATACCGCGGTAGTTCTCTCTTCTTGTCTGATCACCTTTCTTGATGACAGGCTCAAGGATGCCCGAGCCCCAGTTATCATGAACAATGATCTCGTCTCCCCACGACTGTTTAATGCCCTCGTAGAGTCATGGCGTCTGAATGTCGACACAAGACCTGTAGATTTCTGCAGGAAAACCGTCATCTGCAAATGTCTTGGTGTCGCGCAGCCTTTGCGTTGCGTCAGCGCCTTCTTCCTCAGAATAGATTTGCACGACACTGCATAGGTTGGAGGGACAAAACTCCGTTGCACAGGCGAGCGGGGGTGTGATGGGTCGCTCGTCAAACTTGAGAAGGTGCTCGAAGCGCTCACGCCAGGTATTGATCTTGGTCGAGTTTTCAGTCGCTGGTCGCATAGCGAACTAAGTGGGAAACCGTTCAAAACGAGGTCCGCCCTGAACGTTATGAGTCCATTCTGTGTTTTAATATGCGAACGAGTGTCTGAACTGCATGAACCGCGAGCGTGGAATGTTCGCCAATGCTATCTAGTCGTGGAAATCAATAAGAAAGCCGGAAAATGTGCTTTAATTGAAAAAAACTAGGATCTTTTGCAGAAATGGTATAATGAGTGGTTCTTAAACCTCAGCCGTAACAAATTTTATAGTATTCGATCACGATCTAGCAGCGCGAGACGGTTGAGATTCGAACGTCACCGACTCGAATCAGCCAGCGATCTTAGGAGATCTCAGTGTTTGGATGACGTCCATTCTCGAATAGTCGTCTCACCGCGCCAAGTTAACAAAAAGGCCATGGGTATCCTAGGTGCAATCAGAAGATTCCTCTATAATTTCGACGAAAAGCTTTTCCGTCGACTCTTTGGAGCATTTTTGTCTATAGATAGGATGTGGCGTTCAGGCATGGCGTGCCTGGACGAGACAAGATTACATCTTCTTGGGAATGTACACCCAAGAGCATCTGCTTGCATCATGAAAGACGACTGGAAGAATTAAAATATTTTCTCTCTGTTATAAGCAATACAGGAGGAGTATGATAATTACCTTATGAAAGTCAGAGGGCTAGGGTGTATTCTTTAGTTTTGAAACTCTTCCGAACTGGCATAAATAACCAATCTTCCAGGCCACCAATACAAACTGAAAATGAAGTGTGTCAAGCTGAAAGCGTGGACCAAATTCTTCTCCTACCGGTAAGTTGAAGGATGGAAAGAATTGTCCCATTTCGTTATTTGGGCGAAAAGTTCGAGATCTTTACAAAAAAAACTGGACAAATGCTTGCTTGATGGTCGTATATTAATTCGCTATTAATGACATTAGTGTTATATAAATATGTGCATGCTTTTCATTCTTGATATTTGTAAATAGGGTTTTCCAATGCGCTGCCTATCCCCTTTATGTGTACTGAATTTTAATTTTAAACACGAAGTACGGACAAACGTCTTCTTCTGCCGGGTGTCTGCGGAATGTAAAACGCTCCTAATTAGCTTGTTCTTACGGGAAGCGTTCAGATGTTTAAAGGAAGACTTGGTGGCATTTTACTTGATAATGATCTATTTAATTGGTAGGGACTGATATACTGCACCCACACAGCTATGTAAACACCCGTTCTTTTTCAGCACAGGTTTTTAAATAGGGTTTCCTAGGGCTCTTTCTATCTCCCTTCTACAAAATGATTTGTGAATCTCGCAAATATGGCCTCCTTCCTTCCCTCCCTCTCTCTCTCTCTCCCTCTCTCTCTCTCAAGCTCTCTATCTTATTAACTGAGGCTTAAATAATTTCATAGACGAATTATAAGGTTTGTCCTCTCCATGCGGGACTGGTCATACGCAGGCCTCGGTGAGTTAAGCAGCCTTCCATCCTGACTCAGGGAAGGTTGCATGCAGATCTTGTCATAATTTGTAAGACATCTCGTACAATTAACCATACAAATGCAAAGCTATCGTTCCATCGTAAGTGCAACGTGCGTCTCTGTCGGTGTCCATGTAAACTGCAATTCTGGTAAATCCTGTATTTTGGGAATCGCTCAATAACAAGAATGTGTAAGGTATCATCAACCAAAGTTAAAAAGCTCGAGGTTTGAAGCCCCACAATCCTGCAATTCGGAAGATGTTCAGCCCATTAATTTAGGAAAACCAAAGATATCCTTGACAGAGTAAATGACCTTCAGGTTTCTTGACATGGGCCAGTTAAATAGACTAGATCTGAAGAACGATAATGACGCCTGTGTAGAATACTGAAGAACGAGATTGGCTCAATTTGCAATTCAGCGTTGGTCAAATATGGGAGGTCCCGCCGATGAAGATTAGCCTCCCAGGTGCACCGATTTCCCTACTGACGGCATCACTCCTCGCATTTCCTTTGTTTTCTTATTAAAGTCTTCAACTTTCCACTAGTTTCCTCTCAAAATTTGATTGCTTACATTAACCTGTTTTCCTCACTTCGAGTTGTGTGGTGGGGTTAAGAAGTTTTTGCTCTCTGACCAAGTCATTAGGCTGCAGCGTTTATTTTTTCAACTCTTCTTATTGGGTTTCGATTTCTGGTGATTTCATCGGACTTCTATTTTTCTGACCCATTTCACTGTTAGTCTCTTCCTTTTAAATGAAACCATGCAATTTTCTTTCCCTTTTAAGTGTCTGGGCCTCATAAGTGTTTATCTTCGGTTTCTTGGCATATTCTTGAAAATCGTTCTCCCACCATACCAGAGTCTGCGACCTTTGTCGTGAAGTGATAGGTAGAGAATCTTCTGGTGTCTCTGGATGTAATGAGGTAGGTCTGCAGTCCACGGCGTTTTTCTTTGATGGTACTGACTGTAAGCCTTCGAACTGTGCTAATCAACTTGATTTTATCGCAAAGCTATGTCGACTCGATACGTTCATTTCTCATTCCAGGTGTCTGGTCGATGTTAATTCTGGACCCGTTGCCGAAGTCGAGTGAACATCGAAAGGCTATTATATTAGGAGGTAACTCGATCAAGCCACGCGTGCGGGTTCATAAAAATATAATATCTTACATGCTAGTTTTCCTATAATCTATTTTTCATGGCGGGTTTTGCACTTTAGCACGCAATTTCTCAGAAGCCCTCAGTTCGGTTCTGAAGACGTCCGTTGAACAGCGATTAAATACTCCCATGGATGACGTAGCGGAAACAGCAATCGCTGGGAGGGCAATGCGGTTGTAGTTTGAGTATTTTTACATACTTTCATGTAATGACCTCCGGTGGTGTGAACTACCAGCAGCTAATTATTGCGGTTGCCTGCACCGGACACACTCGTTTCATTCTAACTTCAGACAAATTCTCTCTTCATGCATATGTACCTGCATCCGATGGATACTCTAATCCTACTACCTGCCCTGCTGCGCTATGAATCCAGTGATGCTTTCCGTTAACAAAGAAACTGAACGCCCAAGATCCTGTACTGTATGTGTTGCTTAGGCGCCACAGTCTTACTTCATCACTTTTTGCCTTAGTTCCAATCATGTCTTCCTTCAAATAGCCTATCATCAGCGCGAGGAGTGGGCGCGGTGGGCACTATTAACTGGCTACATTTCGAGAAGTTTAAAAAAACAACTACGTGTGGCAGGAGCGAGAATGGACGCAAGGAGGTCCTTCTTCAGCCACAGAGGGATAAAGGCATGGAATACCCTGCCTGTGGACATTGTCATTTCCTCATCCGTGGACACATTTAAGAGGAAGCTTGACCAGTACATGGATGTGTACCTCCGCGGCATCAGAATCCAACAAGTTTTCCCCCTACACCACCTGACCCAAAGTTTTACTTTACGAAGCATGCCATTCCCTATATTTGAGTGGCATTATCTTATCACATATCGTTATATCCTGACCGAAACATATACGTTTGCTTAGATATTATTTGGTTCATTCAATCCGCGTACTGGTTTTTGCACAATCTTGACATGGAAGGCATTCACAGGCAAATTCATACCAGTAACCAATGCTTGTTGTATGCAATCACTTACCTAATTTTCTTTGACACTTGCCTTACACACTGCTTTTTATGACGTTATTGTAACCAAAAGGGAGTTCAAGGGCGCTCGCCAACCTTTTCCTTAATAAATCTGAACTGGTCTGAAATGAAAACGGCCGCAGCCGCTGCTATGGTCGTTCACAGACGTAACAAGATATCGTTCTATGCACAATTCACGCGAATAACCCGAACACAGACGGATTGTATAATTAGCAAGGGCGCACTGTTTATTTAGGTATTATATTTATACATTCATACAAGTAGTTTAGCTCACTGGATTCTTGTCGGAGAATAATACGGGGAGATGTAATCTGTAAAGGCCTTGCTGTTGGGCTTTTGTTTAGTTTGGTGATTGATATGGCCGCGCCTTAATCCAATAACTATTCTGCGCATGTAGCAAATCAAGAAGTTGGTAATAATCACAGCATCCAACATCATAAAAACCACGCTTTTGACAACCATCTACTTTTTGGCGACGAAAACTAAGTGGGTAGAAAGACGAGTATGACTTCTACTTAAGTTTCCTTGGCCCTCAAGAAAGCTTCAGAAAATGATGTCATATCTGCAAAGTCACTTTTCCAGAGAAAACTTTACTGTTTGACCTACTGGGGGCTCAGCGGGGCATGTTGTAGTGGTTTAGTGGTACTATTGTTTTGACAACAGAAATGCGCATATACGCACGTGCAATTGTTGAACTTTTCGTTGAAAACAGTTAACCCGAGAAATTCTATTCAAGTGGCAACATACTTAAGGAGGGTAGAGGAAATCAGAGCCCCAGACTCCAACAGGTAGGTCAGTCCACAGACGTTCTCCGAAAATAAATAACGGCAAGTAGTTTACTTATACGATTGTTTCTACACGTGGCCTTGCTCAGTAATTGCGCCCATGTTTTCTCCGCCACAAGACTCGCCGTTTTATTAACTTGCCATTCTAAAAACAAACGACGAACTACCGCTCGGACTGTCAAAGACCCCGTTCGCTCCAGATCGAAGCTGTCCTTAGGACGGAGACATGTGTTACTAGGGTTGCCATCCTGGTCGGCTGTGCGTGCCTTTAACTCCGTATGGGGCTACACTGCTCCCCGCAAGCACACCAGTCGTTAGGGAGAACAGGGGCTTTATTGATTTTGCCTCAGAATGCGTTAATTTTCCTACCCTTCGCATGTCAAACATAGTATAGTATCCCAGTTAAAACAAAGTTTTATTGACAAAAATCGTTGATAGTTTGGACAACTGTACAAATATCCGCCAAAAATAGCTCTCAAAAAACACACTTGTACAAAAGGTCGTTCTTGCAAGGACACTCCAGCTGTAATTAACTTTGACGTCTAATTTGTTTGCCGGATAGCATCTGCATCTTGGATCTGCGAGATCGGCGGATTTGTCCTATCCAGAAGAAGAAGAAGAATCATCCGAGTTGGTACTCTCCTCGCTCTGGACCTCAAGCATTGATTGGATAAACAATAAAAGGGGGATGTTTCCCGACTCCTCCGCGCAGTCTTCGATCGTGCGGCCACGCTGTAAGAAAAACGATGCGCCAAACCATTTTATATGTGACAAAGATAGTGCGAAATGCCTTTAAAGCAACAATCTGTACAAGATTTTCTGGCCGCTCATGGTTCGAGCCACGATCGTAACTACGATGGGCTGCAAAACCCAAGAAGCTTACCTCCAGGAAAGACGATCAGAGTCCTTTAAATTCGATCCAAATATTGTTCGAGCTGACAGAGGTGGTGAGGTGCACTTCGCTTTGGAAATCTCGCTTAAAGCGATCGTGTCATAAGCTGAAACTGTTCTGTTGTATCTCAATTTATCGAACTCCAGAAATCAATATAGTTTGGAACTATTTGATCCCATAGAAACGGAACTACCAATCGGGGACATAGACAGATTTTCGGAGTGGTCCTTAATGTCATGTCTAGAAGGGCATTTCCCGAGGCTGTGCAGTGTGTCTTTCATCGTTTTAAAGAATTTTCGGATGTATTACCTTTCGTAATCGTCTTTTTGGGAATCAGGAAGGCCTATTCCATATTAAAGCAATGACGATTTTCCCGGCCTTTCCAAGTCAATACACTGACGGTCAAGTCAGCCGATAACTTAAGGGCTTAATTTGCAAAATTTATGTAGCGACAGAGGACAGGCTAAGGTTTCGCAGACAAAAAAAATTAGTGTGCACGCCTAACGCCAATCTTGCCGAGGCATTTTCATCATTGTTCTACCGTGCGTACAGAAACCCTTAGGAGACAACGCTGCCACTTATTGTGAGCCTGAAATCGTAAACGCAGGCGAGTCTGAAATCTCCAAAGTCAACTATTTCGGCAATCTTCTGCAGTTAGCCGACGCGAGCGTAAGTGTCAAGTTAATAATGGGTCTACTGTCACCACCCCACTGATCCTGGACCTATCATTATTACGCAAATCTGAATTTTGATTTTGTGGATGTTTATAATTGTGTTGTTACGACTTGTGATAATCGAGGAGTAATATGACAGTTTCAGATAGGATGGACATCCATGACTGTATTATCTTTGCTTATTTAGGACTTCTGTTGATCGACTTATGTTAGTCTACAGCAAGTGTGCGTCCAAAATATCTGCGTTGATTTTTCGATTTTATAATTCTCCGAAAATCTGCAATACCTGTCATTTACGTAATTACATGTCTAAGTGTTCAGAAAAGACCCTGTTGTGAGAAATTATTTTCGCTTTGATGCTTTAAGACCATTTGAAACATGAATATCACACTTGATTTTGAGACGTTTGTAGATGAATTGGGCAAAGCAGACGGCTAAGTCCACCAGATGCCCCGTTAATTGGACGCAGGATGGTGACTTGCACAACACCAAACGAACTCTCTCCCCCTTCACTCTTCTTGCTCCGGCAACAAGCCAATGCCCAGACGACCGGAGGCGGGCTAGAATGTAGTGACTGATGAGATTGGACAGCGAGTCTACGCATGTCAAGCACGGTCTGGCCTTTCGGCATGTACCAGCTTCTGCGGGGGTGGTCTGGATCTCACATATTTCAGAGTACAATGAGGGCCACATAACGAAGAGACTGGGGAGTCTGCCTTTGAGTTCTGGGAAGGACTGAGTTAGCCAACTCGTTTTTAGCCTTCCAAGCCAAAGCTATTAGTGCGTCGCAATAGATTTAAGCGTCAATAGAAGCGCAGAGACGAGTCCCAGGCAGCAGTCTTGAAGAAGGAGACACGATCGCTGGGAAAAAAGCTTTATTAGCCTGACGTTTCGGATTCCTGCTCGAACCCACCATCAGAGACAAAAGCAGATACGGGTGGCTCATGCATAAGGGGCTGCAGTGTTTATAGGATGCAATAGCCATGCTACCGCATACCTATGAACATTCACGGCTCCCCCCTTCATTCGGGATCGTTTCCTGTGGTGTGACGGCCGACATTCGCGTCGTTAATTGCTGCAATTTCAGCAGGTGTGTTGGATGTTCGTGTGATGATTGCTCGACCATCTGACGCGCTGACCCTGGTGTTGGGAGAAGTGTTCACATGTGCGCTCCCCGCGTGGCCAATTACTCCACCTAGGCGAAGTCTCAGCACCGAGTATGGAATGGAAAGATCATTGCGCTTGTTAATGGACTGGGGGCCAGTAAACCACGACTCAAGCAGCTCCCGGCCCACGCGGTTGTCACCTCTTGCGAGAATGTGTGGCCGGATCTCGTCGAATGAACCCCTTATGCATGAACCACCCGTATCTGCTTTTGTATATGATGATGGGTTCGAGCAGGAATTCGAAACGTCAGACTAATAAAGCTCTTGTCCAAGCGATCGTGTCTCCTTCTTCAAGGTTTAAGCGTCTCAGCCTTATTATAGTGAGGAATGCGCCAATGTGTCGTAAGGATGGATCCCCCCTGAGTCAGCCAACATCTAAGGCGTGCCCAAACACACATGTATGACAGTAACTACAAGCTCGCCTGGATTCGGTGCGGCTCAATAAACTCGCGTCGTGAGGCAGTTCAAACTCTTCCGTTTCGGTTCAGCGCATCTGCGGTGCAGTCCATTGTCGGTTCCAGACAAAGACAAAGACACGCAATCACTGACGATGCTGACCATCACTTTTCACGGCATTGTAGGAAATCCGGTCCGTTTATTGCGCAGGTGGACAGTCACTGTGCTACAATAAGAGGAAGAGGACTCCTTTGCTGAGACAAGAACATTATACGCTTAACGTTTTGGGTTGCCGCTCGATCTCTTCATGAGAGACTGCGCAGTGTGCAGTCAGTATGAACGGACATGGTTTCAGAGCGGCGTGTTGTCAGGGCAGGTTGAGCATGGTCAGGTAATAACTTCCCCTCTTTCTCTCTCCCCAGCCCATGACCGACACGCGACTGCCAGAAACCTGCCATGGCGAGCCACTTCAACCGAAAAGGAAGTTCAGGAACCTACGTCGTCAGCAGAAATTAATAAGGAGTAATAAAAAGTGGCGGACGGTCGTTAGGGAAAACTCGGTAGGGCCGTTTGGTCGACCGAGTTATCCCAACAGTTGATATCCCTTCAAGCCAAGACTATCAGTACGTCTCGATTTTATTGTAGTGAGGAATGCGGCAATGTGTTGTGAGGATGAATTCGCCAGTGTCAGCCTTACTTTTCTCTGCCTCTCCCATGAACCGGTCAACAGGCTAACGCTGGGACTGGTCGCGGGAGCTGACGCGGCGTGAAGGCCTACAGTAGGTGGGCTAACTCATGAAATGTCAATCGAAATTCCGAATTGCGCTTTCTTTCGAAAAGATGAATTAAGTAGGGTTGTAAAACCAATCATCGTGCAACATGATTCCATAATAATTCAGTTACTTCAGGATGCCGGCTTCGAACAAACTTCTTTCCGGTCGCAACCAAAAACTACACTCTGTAAAAATGATTATTGAAATAGCTTGCATTTTCTCATTGATCTTCGATGCCCTTAAATATTCGATTATATTTAATGAAAAACATATATAAAATATTCATTCTTTCGTCCATTCGGTAGGAAATTACGTCTTCTTCAGATTTTATACCCAAAGAAAGGGTACAATTCGGTTTTTAAAAAGTTTCTAATAGTGAGATGTTTTAATAACGTAAAATGGCTATTCATCAAACGTCACGTCTCTGCATTTACCAATGTGGCTTATAAAGTTAACAATATGGCTCAAATCTACTGTTTAATTTTGTGAACACCATATAGTCTCCTCCTAATTACGTAGATACATGTATGGTTTACCGTAATCGGAAAATATAATGACTTGTAGTTTGGAAACCGTGAACGCAAGCGTAAAGGCAGGTCAGGGTTCAGAATTATTCGGGAATCGGAAAGGTTTTTGAAAACCGAATTATGCCCATCCTTTGAGTATTAAATTGGAAAAAGACGTAATTTTCTACAGAATGAGCAAAAGAATGCATATTTTTACGCATGTTTCCCATGAAATATAATTGAATTTTTAAGGGCATTGAAAAGCAATGGGAAAATGCATGCTACGTAAGTAGTCAATTTTTGGCAGAATATAGTTTTTGCATGCAGCCAAAAAGAAATTCATCCTAAAGCGGACATCCTGCGGTTACTGAATTATTATGGTATTACGCTGTTAGACGATCAGTTTTACAACCGTACTGAATTAGTCTTTTCGGAACGAAGACGCACTTCGGAATTTTGGTTGACATTTCATGAGTTAGCCCACCTACTGTATAACTTTCGAGAGATAGCTGAATCATCCACAAAATCGTTTTTTCGCCACTGCATAGTGTAACGCACGCACAAACTGAGATCCGTATGCTTCCTCTGACAATAAACTAGCCTCTCCTTTGCGGCGTTATTTTTGGAGATGTGCTCCAACAAAATAAACTTATTCACCAAAACTGTAGTCCAATAACTTGATGACAGCCGAACAAACACCGCTGTCACCCATAAAGAGGCAAACGATCAGTCTTCTTAAAGAAGAAAAGAATGTGGTGTCTACGGTAGAGATGCATTAGTCACAACGCCATGTACAGGGTTCCAAGTTAAAGGACACTTACCACGTCTCTCAAATGCAGTGATGCACCGGATTCAATCAGTAACTCAGCCGTTTTTATATGGCCCTTCAGACAGGCCATATGGAGGGGAGTAAGTAGCTGGTCGTCCTGAGCGTCCACTGGACAGCCAAATTCAATGAGCTGTTTGGAAATATCTGCATTTCCATCCGCTGCGGTCACATGAAGCAGCGTCCTGTCGTGCTGAAAAAAGTTATGTAAACGGAAAACTTTAGTTTGAAAATACCTTTTAGACAAACGTACTCTGATCTGAGGAGGATGGGCGAGTTATTCCGAAAGTATTTCCATCGGCAGTAATCAACAAACGGCACTGCCACGTGACTATTAATATTCTCTAACACAACCGTCGGGCGATGGATCTGTGGATAGACGACAGAACGTCGGCGTGGCAACAGAGCCATCTGAGATTTGAACCCTGTGCTTACCTTGCCTGGGCTGACGAGAGCAGCCCGATATCGCAGTCTCCACCGGCAACAGTTCTGTGCCTAGCTCACAAGCTTGGGATACCATTTATTATATTAGTAATACTGAGGATTCATCACGGTATAGCGGCAGGCCTAAGGGCGGCTCCGACTGCGCCGGCCACTTACGTCCTCTCGCATCTCCAGTCTTCCTGACCATGTTTTGACACCGAGTCCAGGTTGGGGAGGAGGGAAGGGTGCGGTGGATGCCGCGCAAGTCTACTATCGCTATAAACTAGTTCACGCGCAAGTCACCGTCCCTGTTCTCACCCTGCTGTGGAGCGCACGGTGAACATGGTCGATAGCGACGGCCAAACTGTCATGAGCCGCTAACAGGCATATATCCGGTAGCGATTTTATACGAATAACACCAGTACAAGTAATGGTCCCAGTCCGATTTTCACTGCTTCTGGAACTTGATGCCCAAGTAACAACTGAATAAAAACTTGGTCAAGCAGTTTTTTTACCATCAGCAGATGCACAGATCGGCCGCATTGGAGCCCTCACCTTCCACGATGCGTTTCTGGAGATTTGGCGGTAGTTTGCCAATAGCAATGAACATGCCAGCATCATCCGTGCTTTCGCTGCTAGCACATGCCCCCTGTCATAAGAGCTGGGCTAAATTAAACTGTAGGAGCCCATGACCCGTCCGAGGAATAATCAATCCCTCAATCTTAACCCGACCGATTAATAATACTGCAATTTTTGCAGTAAAGATGACGTGGGCAGGTTCCTTGCGCAGGAAAAGATGTAGGAACAATCGAACGAACAAATGGCTTCCCATATTGCTCTGCAAGGTAATGGGTCACCTCCTGATGTCCCGGCCGTCGACCGCGCGTTTTGGACGACGAACTAGTTTATCCCATCCCCCGAAAACAAATGACGGGAAGTGATTTTCTCCCACGATTGGTGCTACATCTTGATCTACGCAGAGAGCGTGCTCACGTTATCTGTACTGGACGTGGATGAACGGGGCCAAACTGTAGCGTCAACGGCTAGGATTCCTAAGTAAAATAAATAACAGAAGCAGTTTGCCTGTACGATTGTTTCTAGGACCTGATCGAGTTACGGAGCGTGGTCGGATCTTATTTCGTAGCCGTATCTGCAGTAGATAAACCCAAGCCTAACCCCTAACCCTAACCCCAACCCCTAAACTTAACCCATAACCCCAACCCTTAATCCCTAACCCCCAACCCCCACTCCTAACGCTGACCCATAACCCCTAACCCTAGCCCCTAACAGGTACGGCTACGAAATAAGATCTTGCCCGGAACGTAATCATGCCATGTATACTACAAAAGCATGACGTATTATCAATCGGCCGTGCTAAAAAACAGAGCGGAGGAATCCCTCAGACTGGCCATAGCTCCAGACTTAGAAAGCAAGCACGAGTCACCTGAGTATTCTCGCCATACAAACCGATTTTTTGAGTTCAGTAATCAGTGTTCTGAATGCCTGAAAAGGAGTCCTCTGCACCCAGCAGTAAACCTATCCAGTGAGTTGTCTAGTTCTGTAAGTTAGAAGGTTGATCGAGGTTCAGTGGGCGCACTTTCCTTTCAGTTCGTTGGTCCTTCTTTTTAGCATTGTAGTCCCCAAACTTTCCGTCGTCACCTACCCAGTCGGTTTCATCCACTTCAGCTCCGGCCTCAATTAGGCTTTGAAGGACGATCGACTGGCCCTGTTCACAGGCTCGACGAAGAGGTGTTCTGCCATTCTTCTCGCGCTTGTCGGGATCCGCCTTTCGTAGAAGAAGCAGCTTAACTGCGTACAAGCTCCCCAACGAGACAGCCAGATGAAGTGCCGTGGCACCGTCCTACAGTAAAAAAAAAGAAACAAACGAGGTCACTCGGCACCTGCTGTGGATCTGTACTAACACGGGAGCGAATCCGAGTTCTGTTCAACTACACGGAGTAGACGGATTTTCAGGGATACGTCATATTCCGATTCTTTCTGTTGGGTATAAGTCCAACGACTGGGACTCCCTTTTTTCACCTCTGGCTCCAGATTGCTGCTAATATGGATCCACTTGCACGTGTAGGTTTGAATTTACGTCGTGCCTAAGTAACCCCGCTTAAACCTTGCCAACTAAAAGGAATTAGGCAATCCTGGTAGAATAATAAGATTTGCAAGTCTCTTGAGGATAGAGGGCGTGTTTAAAGTTAGCTAATTTGTTAGATAGTCCCACATGTTGCGGCAAAAATATCTCTAAGGAAAATCCTGACCCTGAAGTCGTCTTATTTGTGGTATGGTTGGCTGAAGGTAGAGATCTTCAAAAGGTTTTTCCACTACAGATTATATACTGCCAAGCAGTTGTTTCTCGCGTCATCGGAACTGCCCGCAGCTTCGACCTCTGCCCAATCCTTATGGAGTTGGCGCAAGGAGGATTAACTTAGACACCTCACGCAACGGCCGCGGGCTCAATCTCCATGTAAATTTGCAGTAGTCCCTTGGGCCTCCGAGATTCGTTGACTGGGTATATGGATGTTCCGGTTTTCTCTTTTGATCAGTGATATTGTATTGATTGAACTTCCCATCAGAATGGCAAGAAACAAATGTAATTCTTACATCCCACTCCTCTCATTAACGTCGACTATACAGGAAGCACTGCATGCTCAGGGAGACTTGTTGGATGCTGACTGTCTTCCAAACCAGATGACCTACCGTATCTCGAGCATTAACATCCACACCGGCATCCAAGAGGAGACGCATGGTAGCCTCTCCGTCCTTTCGCACTGCGCAGTGGAGGGCCGTTTCACCGTTGAAATTTCTGGCGTTCACATCTGCATTGTGCCGGATGAGGGCTTGAAGGATTTTTAGGTCTCGTTTGCGGGCTGCTATATGTAATGGTGTATCCTCCAGCTGAAACATGCACGACAGGAAATCATTAATAGTGCATGGATCAACTGGTAGACTCGAATTTCCTATTAGAATATCGTGGAATATCGGACCTATGGAAAGATAAACTTTGTTTTCTCAAATACTGATTTGGACGTGAGATTGTCGTTCAATTTGTGCAGCAATCATGCAGTGTGGAAATTATAGTTGGATTTAAAAAGGACATTTGCAATTCCGAATTTGCATTCAAGTTCAGACAAAGTAATTTATCCTAATGGAGGAGGTGTCGAAATTTCGACACTTTTACTTCCATCTAAATTTACACCAACTGTTAACAAATATAGCAAAAGAAACTGCATTTATTGCAAAGGAAACAAGAAAGGTGCGGTGACTAATCCATAATTGCAACAAAAGCTTTCTGGATTCTTTGTTGTAAAACAGAAGTAAGCTTCTTTCCTTTGCCTTTAGCGAAATTTCAAAAGCAGCTGGGTGTCTCAGTCCACGCAGAGGAAAGCACGGACCCTAGTAGTCACTTATGCATGATCTAAACTAAATCAGCATTCAGTAAATGGAAGTGCGTAAATTGAAAGCGGTTGTATGTTTTACCGACAAAGACAAGGAAGACTGGAATGGCCATTTCTGGTTTATTAGCCGTCGTCAGCCAGTCATACGCAACCCCGAAGTGTGGAACACCCGAAGCTTGAACTCGCGACCTGTTGGTTAGCAGTCCACACCTCTAACCACTGGGCCACGAGCCCGTTGCCCTATTGGTTTCGATCGGGAATATACGCTGGTAGTGGGCACTCACTGATCGTTCTTACGGAACTCACTCGTTCCGTCGTGCCTTACGGACTCTCTCTCGAGCCCAACCAGCAGCCGAACAGCGGCGCATGATATAGGCAGGTGAACGCCCTCTACCATTGTATATTCCCGATCGAAGCCGACAGGGCAACGGGCTCGTAGCCCAGTGGTGTGGAATTCTAACTAACAGGTAGCGAGGTCGAGCCTCGGGTGTCCCAGACTTCGGGGTTAGATATGATTGGCTGACGGCGCCTAATAAGCCAGAAATGGCCATTCCAGTCTCCCTTGTCTTTGTCGGTAATAACATAGTGCCGTTATCATGCGTCGCTGTGCAGCTGCTGGTTGGACTCAAGAGAGAGAGCCCGTAAGGCACAACGGAACGAGTGAGTTCCGTAAGAACGATCGGTGAGCGCCCCTACAGTTGAAAGCAGTTATTGGCGAGGTTTGGTTCTGCCACCCCACTTTATTGATACCGTATGGTTGGCTTACTAAAACAATATTAGTTAGCATACCTAAATTAGTCATTCGCTGGATTAGGAAGGGAAAGAGGGCACAAGCAGAGCTCGAAGCACGCGCGGGGAACGAATGAAGGTGGTGTACACCTACTCACCCCCGACACAGAGGATAGGGGGGGGCACAATCACAACTGGAAGACCATGGAGGGAATCGCGTGGTAATTAGCAGTGCGCGACCACTGTAGTGGAACCGACGGAGTTTCACACCGTAAGGACAATCCTATTAGCAAGTCTACTTGACCGCTGGCTGGATTAAGATAATAAAGAGGGCGCAAGCTGAGCTCGAAGCACGCACAGGGAAGCGCGTGTAAAGTGATACCTGAAGTAACCGAGGCTGGCGTATATGCAATCCTCCCCACGTGTCACGGTCACTCGCTGCATTAAAGTGATAAGGAAGATGCTAATGCGTGATATTTGTAGAGTCGGCGTACTCGCATCTACTAAATTTGTTAGAAAGCTAAGCATATGGCGTCACCCAGTTGGGGCTGCAGGACCAAACTCGACCGGTGATCTGCTTCTGATCTGCTCCCCCTTTCTTTCTTTATTTCGTTCTTAGAGGACTGTTTGCATCGCTGTCCGCACGTAATTGTGATGCAGCCGTAGAAATGGTCAACATACAACTGCAGTTTGTATGTATGTATGTATGTATGCATGTATGTACGAAATATGTAACTTGATCAAAGCACGCCTACTTATGGGAAGCAAGTACGTCAACAATGTTGACTCATAATCCCAAGCTACTCGGATTTGTCTCGCCGCAGTTTGATATCGACAAGGTTAGAAATGGACAGCTCCATCCTGCCTTGGAGCTGAGTGTCAACAGCCCACGCAGATGAACGCATGACAAGTAGTCGGGCGATATTACCCACAGACACAAGGACACTGGCATTACCACTAATGATTTACGTCACCTGTCCGTGATGCTCAAACTCTGATTAGTGCATCCTGGTCTTGGCAAGGTGGCGATTTGGAGTGCTAGTTGGTCCGGATTTATAGAACTTGGTTGAGACATCAGTGACTGACGACGTGAATAGGTCAGTAGCGATCATCCCAGTGTCCTCATGTCTATCAGTAACACTTGTATAACAAAAACAGCGCCAAAATGCTTACTCTTTGATGTGGACACTACTTTTTTGCTCCCGTTGAGGAGTGTCATCCACGCATCCACATAACAGTTCCGTATGGCTCAGGAAATGTTAACCAAAATGCTGAAATGTGTTTCTGATTCGAAAAGATTACCTAAGTATGGTTGTAGCATCAGTTATCACGCGGTATTATCTTAAGGTATTTCGGCTACGCTAGGATGCTGATTGTTAAACTAGGTTCTTTTCGGCCGTCTGTAAAATATACACCCTGTAAAAAGTGGGTGCTTAAGCAATATAATTCCTCTTGATTTTCGATGCGCTTACAAATCCAAATATATTATGTAGAAAATATTATCTGTTTAGCTTATTTGGTAGTAAATAAGATCTTTAAGTTTTCTATTTGGGGAGAGTGTATCTTTCGGTTTATAAAAACATTCCTAATTCACGGATAAATTTTGACCCCAGATGCCGTCACACGTGCATTCAGGGTTTGCAAACTTCACATTGTACACATTCCGTCAAAGAAAGATCGCATATCTCTCTATGTCATTAGGAAGACGTCATATAGGACTCGTAAAATCGTGCAGTGGTTTCTCAGTTACGATACGCATAAGGCTGTCGACAGTATTTTTGGATATTTTTCGAGCGCTATTGATAGAAAATCGAAAACTCGTGATTTTAGATATCTTATTATTCACACATTAAAGCAACTTTCAACAAATGAAGCTTCTGATGTGCTTTGTTAAGTACTAAAAGTTCTATGGTAACTTTCTATGCTGAATGGATAATGTTGAATCATAGTATGATCTTCGTATGAGTTCCCTCGTTCGCCCGCCCATGCTTTTTAGATTGCTTCTCATGATATTAGTCGTCGGGTCTCATTTCGTAGCCGTACTTGCAGTAGACAAGCCCCAGCCTGACCCCTAACCTTAATCCCTAACCCTAATCCCTAACTCTGGCCCCCTAACTCTAACCCCTAACGAAATGAGATCTTGCCATGTTAGTTTTAAGATACTCACGTCCAATCTCCCACAGCGGAGATTTCTGGAAACGCGAAATCTTCGTGTGATATTCATCACCTGCATGTTTAACCGATTACTGATTCACTCTTTCTGGCGTTCGGAATTTCGTTGGTACAACGAGCAAAATCGCTGTCACATGTGCAAAGGCTAGAACAGGGCAGTAGGAAGGAGAAGGAGACATCATCTCTGAAACAAGAATCTTATTTTCCCGACGTTTTTGACTAGCACTAAGACCCCAGAAGATGAAAGGCACGCCGATGGGTTCGCCGAATTCTGGACACATCGGAAACACCATGAACCGAGATACTAGGCGCGAAATATGAGTGGTGCCTTCATTCTCATCGAACTGGATCAAGTGTTGACACTCAAGGAGCATCTTACTGTAGTTCCGCCTAAAATATGGTTTCCAACGTGGGTGGCAGAAAACTATCTGGCCTTCTTTGGTGTTTTTGTTTGTTGCAAAGACTCTAGCTACATAAAGAACTAAGGTGTCCAGGGAAACGGTAACCTCCAAACGGCCACAAACGCGGTTTATTAAGAACGCTATATTGGCCTGTTGAGACGCGCTGCAGTGAACTAGAAAGAAGATTACCGAATTGCAATACTTTCGGTGGGTTCTTATAGTGAAGAACTATCTTTGAAACGTCGTCAGTCGGTATGTGCGAAGATGAAGTGAGGAACTGAATTGCACCGGTTTAGGATTTTCTGAAGCGATCTACATGTCAAGGACGTCTTTCAAGACGTCCGATGCCTCCTCGGGCCACTTGAAATTTGGGTTGCATATGGACCATCAGGCACCGAGAAACGAGGCCTAAAGACTCGCTTCCATGGCGGGGAGAGTCTAAACTCGTTTATCGAGTCTGGTACGTTTGCGGTCAAAACAACTACATTGGGGAAACTGGAGGGCCACTGATAACGCGGTTCAGCAGTAAAGGACAGGAATGACGTGGGAATCGCAAATCGCGGTCCATTCGACCAGCTTTGGTTCCACCTTCGCGTTCACTCAACCAACTTTCTCAAGGAAGGTGACAATCAACGTGAGCCGCAAACGAGTTGCGTCCTTCTTCTCCGGCTCCCAGTCCGTCACCATGCGTAATGAACTACTACCTACACCTTCAGCGCAATAACCTGGCCTGGGAAGAGTAATCTGCCACACATTGAGTGTGCGAGCGAACACTACAACCCGTGTTATCACCAGCGAGCCACATGGTCACATCAGCCAGTGACATTGACGATTAAATTTCGGCAGTTAACGACGAGCGCGATCAAGCAATTATAGCGCCAAGTATGACCATCTGAGATAAATGGAGAAACTGCCGATTTTTGTTAGGTGCGTATTTGTATGGCGGGTATACACTTCTTCAGCCCCCTGCTGCTGTCTCTAACGTGGGACTAAAATGTGAACCCAAAGAAATCAGGCGAATAAAATCCTTGTTTCACTGACCCGGCCTCCTACTCCTTGACGCAACATATCTTTTGTTGCCGTTTGTTTTCTTAGAAAAAATTCCCAATTTGTGACTGATTAAGAGAGTTAGTATGTCCCAGTAGGCAGTGATGAAGGTATGTACTGACACACTGTCAAATGGCTAGGTATGCTCTTCGATCGGTACACAAAAGTGCCCACGACATTCAAACTAAAAAACACTGTATAGCCACTTGAATTTACCGCTGTTTCAACCGACTGCTAAGCTGGTCATTTGCCAATCATTGAAACTGGAAAAAAGTAGTCATATGTGTCTGTAAAAATAAATTACTTACGGTTTCCTCCTTCAGATTGGGATCGGCATCGTAGCTAAGCAGAAGCTCGACCATTGCCAGGTTGGTGGAATCACAGGCTAAGTGCAGCAGAGTATTGCCGTTACCGTCCTGGGCATTGACATTACCTCCGTTTCGTAGAGCTTCTTTTGACGCCTTCAGATCTCCCATCCGCACTGCTGCAACGACACTCGCGTCACACTTTAGGGAACACGTAAAGGTGCTTTAGAGAGCAAAGACCTCTCTTAGAAGAACTGATTTATACATATATACATATTCTCGACTCAAATATTCATTGAAATTTCGAGTCTGGTCCTAAAAAAGAACGTCCCTGACATTTAACTCCCCGTCTTGCACTTAATAATGTCTGAACTTATTAGTTTGGTCATTCTCTGCGGTTCAAATAGCAGAAACCGCGGGGAGAACGCTAGGGGACCCACTTATGGGCCGAACCCATCACTGCTGCGCCATATAACAGCAAAAAAATCGCGAAACGCGCGTTTGAGCTTTTAGTTAGTACCTATGTCAGGAGTACGATACAACGCCTTTGCCATGTAAATTCATACTACTTGTAACACTACTCGTTTGTGGAATGCTCATTACATGAATACGAAGAAGATGAACGCGCGATCACAGGGACAGCAGTGTTCTAATGATCGCGAGTTCATCTTCTTTGCGACAAGAATCTGGGACTCGTATATTCGCATCTATGAGGTAGTTATTCCACAGTAGTCGACTGTCTTAGACTCAAATGCTCATTGATTTTCTGGTCTGACCCTAACAGTCATGGCTTGGGCACTCAGCTACATGTTCTGTGCTTAATAATTTCTGAAAGTGGAATTGAACTACAAATTACCGCAGCCGACAGAGTAGTCGTTTTATTAAATCACTTCCCAGCGCTTTCGGCGATCTTGCGATGCCAAATTTTAAGGAACAACGCGCCAAAATCAAATTGTGTCACCTGTTAAAGAAAACAGTCGCAGAAACCGTTTCAATGATTTTCGAAGCTTATGAGAAGTAGGCTCTAAGTCAGGCAGGAATCTACGAGTGGTTTGTCCGGTCCAGAAATGACTAAATTTAACTTGTGTATAAACCCTGTTCGGGTCGTTCTTCAAAGCCCAAAAGAAATGAAAATGTTCAAAAAGTGCGAAATGTCATCATGTTTGATCAGCTCGAAACAATAGACAAATTGAAGGAAATAACCAAAATTGCCTGGAGTTCATGACATAGGATCCTAACTGAAGATTTGGACATGAGACGCATTGTCTCTGCCTCCTCTTTCAAAAACGGCAAGAGTTCCTCGAGGTCATGCACTCAGATAAATCGTGCAGGAATCTTTGAGAAAGTAGAGAGGAGACGAGAACTAATCAGGACGGACTGACACGCTGTGGCCGCTTATCGATTTTTAAGTGCATTCAAGATTTTAACTGTTTTTGGTAAGTTTGCTCTCCGTGCACTTTGACGACAACGTCATGAGGAACCGGCATCGAAAATTTACGCAATAAACCTCATTTTCCCAAAAGACCTATATGTATATAAATTTATGTTAGTCATAGAAGGTATCCCTAATTAGGTGTTCTAGGGTACGCCAACACGTTTCCTTACGTGATTCCTAGATGAATAAAGAGAGCTACGTGGTTAGGAAAGACAAACACGTTGTTTACTTGAATATACAAAGCCTTCTTAAATCCATTGTTAAAAGAAAAATTATTTTCTTATTGTAAACTGTGGAAAATTTTGAAAAACGTAAAATCAAAAAAACCCGTTGACGGACGGAGTTAACTTCCGGCCCTTCTAACTCACGCCGGATTCTCTCTGCCGCTTAGCTACAGCCACTTCTTTTCCCAGAGGAAAATATAACTCGAAACACAGTAGGCGACGTTCCTCACGAAACATGAGCTGAAATTCTGAAATATGATCTTGGTTAGAAAGGATCGCTTAGGTAGGGCTGCAATATTGATTATCGTTCAACACAATTCCAAGTTGTTTCGGTCATGTCACGATGTCAGCATTTGATGCTCGTTTTTCGGCCACTGAAATCACACCAGCTAAAGTGATCACTTAATAAGTGCGAATTCTTCGGTTGACTTTCGATGCTTTGTAGATTTAGCGAAAGTTCACAGAAGACTGACGCAAAAAACGAGCATTTTCATGCCCATTTTGTAGTAAATTACGTCTTCCTCAAAGTTTTACACGATGAAAGTGTATCTTCAGTTCTTAAGGTTTGTCTCCGAAATACTTTCAAATCAGACACGCCGTTGCGCCTTTGGTTAGGTTTTCTGAGCTACATGCTGTGCATCTTCCATGTCAGGAAAATCACTATTTTTCTGTGCTATTAAGAAGGTACCATAAAGCATTCCTAAAGCTTCGTAATATATATGGACTCTGTCGTATATTCATGGTCTCAAGATGGCTTAATCTGCCAAGCCAAAGCATACCCTTTCTTCAAGTACACCTTCGAAAAAAACGTTATTTGCTATAAAATCAGTACAAAAAGTATGGTTTTGCGTGCTATCTATAAAGCATGCTTAGATTTTTAAACGCCCTGAATATCAACTAAATCGCATTTCTTTAATAGTGAGTACGACCTTCCCAGCTGATAGAAAGGTGCGAATCTAAACGATGGGATGCTAGCATGACTGAAATAACTTTGAATTGAGCCGTATGACAATCAGTATTGCAGTACAACGAACTAAACTACCTTTTCTAATCGAAATAAACTTTCTAAGTTCCGGTCAATGTTCCATGAGTCACTTCATCTACTGTGCACTAGAGTTGCGAACGTTCCCATAGAATGATTCAGTGCACTAATACACTAGTCTACTTAACTGAGTCAGAGATGGGGAATAGTGATAATTAGCACAGTCAGGAAATGCGTCAACGGTGACTTGATAGCAGAACAACCGGGGTGAAATCGGAGTGTCGATGGTTCGAATCCGCAGGAGGACACACATTTTCCGGCTTTGTCTGCTCGTCATTTCCCATAGTTTGCGTTGAGAGGACTGGTGCTGTCTTCTGATTACTTGGTTAGCTCACACCTCATCTACTACTCAAAGCACATGTTAACGAAATTACCGCTACTGTAGAATGGATCAGGTTTCAGTCCAATGTGTTCGGCCTATTCCTTTCACGTAAAATGGCACTCTAGTTATAAAATTCGGAGTAAAAAGTGGAACGAGTGTCTCAAAATCGTAAAAACGATGAAACCTCACCAAATATGTTTTCGATTGTCAGGTGTTCACTGGCTGATCCTAATTGTCTTCAAAATGCCAATTTATCTAGCAGGAATTTTAGGGTGTTTTTTATAATTCCTGCTTCAAATGGAGACGTGGAATATGGATTTGCGTGTTGGATCTCTGAGTTTATTTATCCGACATTTTGAACTCCGTGTGGCCTGCTTTACCTGCAAACTTCAGGCTCGGGGGAATGACCCCTTCCCACATTTATGTTCTTGACATTAATTCAAATGGCCTCCATAGGTTCTTAGGGAAACAGCATTTCTTGCAAAAAGCACAAGAAATGAGTTTCACAAACCAACCCTGTCGAGAGACCTTAGCAATGCAAACAAGCGAAATCAAGTACAAACAGAAGTCTTCTTCTGGATAAACGAGAATCTACAGCATCCTGCATTTACCGTGTCCACTGCTAACAGCGTACCTCAGCATACTGCAGGTCTAATCAGTTTATAAGTAATATGGTGGGTGCTATTAAAACACCAGCCCTTGAAATCTGACCGCAAAAAGTCCGCTAGATTGCAGTAAAAGCAGACTACGCGAAGTCAGTCAAAGAGGCGAGTCCTGCATAGTTTTGCATCTAGGTCTGGCATCGTTCTGTAAGCATGCTTTGAAGGTAGGAAAAGTCGCACCCGTTGCACCCACGTCCCACCACAAAAAAACAGCCTCGAGTGCCCAGACCGAATTTCGCAGCGGGAGTAAGGACAGGTTATGTAACCCCACTGGGGTTAGCAAGTATAGACTTTGTTTTGTTTATTGATCCATAGCTAGAGGAAGTCCACTTTTGTGTTATCTAGCACTTTGATATAACCGCATGCACCGAGTTGTTTCAGTTTGAATTTTTTAGTGATAAATTACTTGGCATGATGTTCTCGCCACCCCTTCCCGTAGTCCCTCTCTCTTGCCTTGACTTCCTAGTTAGCCCAATATACTTGTGTCGCCTTTCGTTGTCGATTCCGTATGCCGTGACTTACTTACTTATTTCTTCCAGAAGAGTAGTTAAACCTTTTTGTTCCATGTCAGTACTCATTGTACTATGCGTGCTGCAAGGATCGCTGGCTGCGTTTTGGTTTACTTTGCCTCGGTTGGAACACAAACGCTCTGCTTCCTCGATATCTCTGAAAGGTTTCCGTTGTCGAACGCGTACGCCTGACTTATTTATTTTTTTCAGAATACTTGTGCATAGTCCACCCCATAAACAATAATAAGACAGTTAAATTTAGTTGAGATGTGGGGTTACACAACCTACCGTTGCCAAAACAAGTTATATTAAGCAGCCCTGACCTCATTTTTATACAGCATCTGAAGACCAGCTTTACTAAGAAGTCCTACGTCACGTTTCATAGGGGTCTTTTTTCTCATGATCATTTTACCCCATAGCCTATACCTCCCCCAGCTATTTCTGTGTAGCTATTGCGAACGCTTGGAAAGAAACCTACCGGTAGGGCGGATCCTCTGAGCGAGCCCTGTTCATAAAACACATGCACTCCACTTCGAGTGACAATCTCTTTGATGTACTTGGGTTGAGATGTCTGCAGTGGATGAGAGTGTTGTTGCAGGATCTCGTTGACTGCTTCAGTCTGCTTCATTTCTTCGCACAGAGACAGTGGCGGCTGCGTCTGGGAGAGGCTGGCGGTGTCGTTAATCCCACTGCCATCCAGGTCGCTGAAGTGGTCCACTCCGAACCGTTGAAAGATGTCCGGGCGTAGACGCCGGCCGGGGATTTTTTGTGGAGGAAGGCAGTTCGGCCTTTGTGGCGGTGAGGCCTTCCTTGGGGAGTGAGATCCGGTGTGTTGACGCTGTGGCTGCCATGTCGGTGGCAGAGAATTGACGCTGTTGCCACTGGAGGGGGAGGTATAGGGGGGCACAGAGGGGTGTGAACCAGCGTCACGCAGGAAATTAGGTCCTGACAGCTCGCGCTTGCGGCGGAAAAGGAGTTGATTGCACCGCGAGAGACTACGGGAGGCAGAGTTGGATCGCAGACGCGCCATCACGTCGGAGCTCGTGTATGGCTGTGGCGAGGACGCAGCCGAAGCAGGACTGAGGTAACCATTACTGAATGTTGGTGATTGATTGTAGACGGGCGATGGGGAGAGGAAGTAACCACGACCACTGCTAACGTACATCTCATAGGGTGTTCTACCACGCTGAAATTGAAATAAATAGATACCTCACATAGGACATATACTGTTTCGACTGTATATTCGCAGTTTGGAAGCCTTAGGTTTTGATTCGCACCAAAGTTATGGGTCATGAGGCCTGACGTCTATGCATTTGAGTTTACAGCAACGCGGATCTCTGGAGAAAAAGGGCCGTAATTATTCAGTTAGTCGATTATCTCGAAGTCCTTGGTGAACCCATCCTTCGTTTTCAAACGTCTAGTATGAATATACAAAACAAAGGCTGACATATGGTTAGCTGATTATTGCCGTTTAAGTTTGTATCCAAGTTGCGGGGTTTCTATCTCGCCAAAAATAATACTTGCTGTTTGACGAGGGGCAACGGTATGGAGAAGGACCCCACTTAACTGACGGCAGACTGTGGATCACGTCATATGGGCTGTTATCTTGGCGTCCATTCGCAGGCCTTTGCAGACATTACACTGTCAATAACAATCTCTTGCCATGACTTTAAGCCATCACTCAAAGTCATTTATTTTTCGAAATTTGCTTTTTGTTTATTTTTAATTACGGTGCTCAATTCCGTTGTTATACGAAAGCGTACGATGAGTCTTTTAGGAGAACTCCAAACAATTTCTGTGTTTTTCTGCATTTCGTCAGCTTACTGTTTAGTGTGCAGCCCCACCCGTAAAACTCCTCTTATCACCAATCACGCATGACACAATACACAGTTCAGTGGGATCCTTCTCTACACCGTTGTCGACAGAGGGGTCAGATCACCTGAGCTGCCCTACCAGTGTCTAAAGGAGGACCAGGGGTATTTTATGCAAATGACTATTCTGTGAGAAGAAAGCGGCTAGATTTATCCGACTCTTTATGACCTGACAGGGGTAGCCAGGATTAAGTAAGCGATGAATGTGGTATCCGGTCGCCATCTAATTTCGGACAGCTATGATGGAATCCGCTATTCGTCAAAATATTGAGACTATCACCTCGATCAACGGATGGTTGTATGCCCGCTGTACACATTGGCGCTTAGATGCTTTTGCTACTGCATAATCTAGCTTCAATCGTAAGTCTGGATACGTAAAAAGGATAGGTGCTCCAAAACACTGTTTTCACCGCAGTGGTCTGGAAGACAACCTTGTCGAAAGTAGGAACACATCGAAATCGTCGGCCTGCATGTTTGCTCAGAATAGTAAATATTTGAGATACCAGAAAACAATGCCGTCTTTAAATAAATGGTATGAATAGTGTTTACCGGAAAACGCTTCCTCTTTTAGTTCATTATGTTATCATCACCGTTGTCAGTCACAGTTTCTGGTCTTGGAACAAAGTTTTTAACACCCTTTTTGCAAGAAGAAGTTTAATTTGATGCTGAGAACTTCAAATGCTGAGTTTCGAATCGCAGTTACTTTGAAAAGTTTTTCCGTCCAAAGTGTTACATAGGTCTGAACAAGTAGTGAAAAGGCGGAATGAGATAAATGCTCCCATCCTCAATGTCGGATCTTGTTATGGGTTTTTCGTGCCAAATACGGTCTCTCTTTGCCATGCAGCAAAAGTACGCCCATTCTATTGACTAGCCCTGGATGTTTAACGCCAAGAGCTTTGTTCAGACCTTCTAATTGTCGACACTAGATGTCTGCTGATACGGCCTGATCTTATTCCAATGGCACAAAGTGATGCTTGCCTAACAGGCTCCCATTTTCTTAGGGTATGGGCCTGATTTCGGCGAAGATGCTGGTGTCTGACCTGAAGAAAGCCATTTGGGTTAGAGTTGGTTTGGTAGCCCCACCAGATGGACACAACACCCTTGGGGTTGGGGTTAAGAGTTAGGGTTAGGGGCTATGATTAGGGGTTGTGGTTAGAGGTCAGGATAGGGGTTAGGGCTGGGGGCTAGCGCAACTATTTCTCGCCCATTCAAAGTGAAAGCGCACATTCCAAGTAGTTTTTCTTTGGCATAAAATTACTTGACCTCGTCGCCTGTGCGTTCCCGGCCCCACCTGTAAAAAAACCCTATTACCACCGGTGGCTGGGATTTGCCTACTTCATGTGGGGCTACCAAACCACATCCAACCGCCATTTGTGTTTACGCTTGTTGTTAACGCAACGAATTCATTCCTCATCTGTTAGGACGGCCCAGAATACGACGCACCATTCCTGTCGCCCGGCCGTCATCCCTAACCGCAAACCAGCAGATCAGTCTCGCCTCGCCAGCCCACGTACGAGCCAGCGATTCGCGCGCCGCCGAGGAACGCGCGACCTGCAGTGGCCGACGGCACGCGGGGGTCCGCCCACGCGGGCGCTCAGGGCTGGACCAATAGGAGCACGCAGACCAGACAAAGGCGGAGGCCTTAGGTATGAAGCCACGGACAGAGGGATTAGGAGTTGATATGCACAGAGTGACTGTCGCAGTCCTCTGCTCTCCCGCCTGTCTTCTATTCCACACAGAACTGTCAACATACCACTGAGGAATATGGTTTCCCCTCGTGTCTGTTTAGTAAAAAGTGACAGACCATGGAACACCGGGTTTCGTTTTTTATCGACAATCAGCGCAGGACTCGAACTCCTTATCTACTGACTTTGCTTATCTTTTAAAGGCACTCCTGAACAGTAAATAGTGACGAATTTAGCTTTTCGGATAATTCGTCGATGGTTTGACGAGGGTCTGTCTCAAAGGTTGCGCGCAAAATGTCAGTATCCAGCTTCACTCGTCTTCATAAACGATGGGCATCGGAGAGGGCAGAATCGCCTGTTCGGTATTTCACGAACTAACACCGGCCCTTGAGGACGTCCAAAGCATACGGATAAACAGCACAAATGATTTTGATAGCTGTCTTAGCGCTGTTTCCCTTACGAAATTTATGCAGTATACAAAGCCAAACATAATTGCCTTCAGAGTTTAAGCCGCCAATTTTGTTAGGCACAATCTAGAAAACAAAATTTACATCAAGATCTAAAAGAAGCAAGACCCAAATGACTAGCAATCGATGTTCAGATGAAACAGTCATAAACAGTTAGATAATAAGATTTAAATTAAGATCACAAAAAACAACATCACTTCCTGGTACCCCCGCCATACTTCGTTATCCCGCCTACTCCAAACTCCATTGATAGGAACGAAGCGGGCACACACGTGTTTTCTCTCATCTCAACCCTAATTTCAGCGTTTGTCCTAAGCATGTCCGTGTTAAAATTTTATTTCATAGACTTATCAGTCCTCGAGGACTCTTGAGGTTACACTGAGAGCAGTTTTCAGGTTTTTTACTCCTGAAAAAATCGTGCCGTGTGATTTCCAAGACCACTGAGGACTTTGGAAGCTGCGACATAAAAGTGTTTAAGCATAACAAGAACCAAAAAACTATCGTGTTCATCATACTTTGTATGGTCCTAGGACCTCCCCATCATTTGAGCGTGAATGAATGAGTCTCTCGAGATTCTTCGGCTAAAAGCCTGTGAAATTTGTATTGTCATTTTCTCAAGGGAATTGTCGGCTGAACTTCAAGAGCCGTAGCGGTGTGCTTAAAGAGCTCTTAAAGGAGGCATAATGGCACTCTTTAATGTATGTTTCCAGTGCCACCTCGTCTTCCAATTTCCGGAAAAAACTTGTGATGACACTCCAAAGAGCGCAAAAGAACCGTTGACCAAACATCTATGAACCATCTCTGTCAGAGACCTTTTAATTCATTTACTCATATTTCGGTGTTTTTTTTTGAAGCATTCGCGTATCACTGTCTGCCAAAATGCACAAGTACAGTGAGTGACCGATCTCATAAAATGTTAGCCGAAATTCTGAAATACGTTTTCGATTAGGAAGGATTACCTAGGTGGGGTTGCGGTATTGATTATCGTGCGGCATAATCCCATGATACTTCGGACTCGCCAGTGTGTCGACTTTTGAATACACCTCTCTCCGACCTCCTGTAAAGATCGCACTGGGTAAGAAATGGTTGCTTAGTTAGTATGCATCTTACGCATTGATTTCCGATGGTCTTACGAATTCAAATATATTATATAGAAAACAATGCATAAAAATATGCTTTCCTTTACTCCTTTTGTAGAAAATCACACTATCTTCATATTTTATACTAGAAGAATGGGTATGTTTAGGTTTTGAAAAAGTTTTCTAACTCCCGAATGATTGTGAACCTAACTAGCCGCTGTATTAGCGTTTAGCGATTTCAGTCCAAAGGGTGCATGTTTTCCGCATAAGGAAAATCATGTATTGCTTCATTTTTTAAGAAGATGCTATATGAGATTTATAAAATTTTGCAGTGGATGCGGACTATGTTGAACATTTCGTGAGGGGCATCGGTAAACAGACAGGAACGATGCTGTATGAATGGACATTGCAAGATCTCATAAACTAACTAAAAACTTTTTTTAAAACCGAAAGATACCCTTTTTTCGTGTATACCATGTGAAAACGACATAATTCTCTACCAAAGGAGTAAACAAAAGCATATTTTTGCATATGTTTTTCATAAAATATACTTGCATTTATAAGACCATCGAAAATGTGAGACGTGCATGCCACATAAGTTCTCATTTTTACCGAGTGCGGTTTCTACAGGAGGTCGGAGAGAAGTGCATTCAAAAGCCGACATCCCGGTAAGTCTGAAATAGTATAGGATTATGCTGCATTCTAATCAATGTTACAACTTGCCTAAGTAATTCTTCTCAATCGAAAACGCAGTTCAGAATTCCGGCCAACATTTCATGAGATCGGTCACACACTGTAAATATGGGGCTAGGCAGCATATGGTTTCCTACACACCGGACGTCGATCACTTAAGTGGAGATTTCTAGTAATTTAACCTTTTGTCTAATTGGAGTCTCTTAATTACTATAAGCTTCATATACCTCCATGAAACTTACCAGCACGGGTACATCGATTTTGAAAACTACTTAATCAGCCTATGCTTCCTAATGCTTTGTCTTCGCTTAGAGCGTAATTCAAAAGGAATAGGCTCCTACTGACTTTTCTAGTGCAAACGCCTAAAATTTAAGTTTTGATAGTGAACTAATTTTACTGGATACCTTACTTCTTATGAAATAGGAAATTACATAGTTTAAATTTCATGCAGAAATTAGCTAAACACCTACCTCCTGTTTAGTGTACACGGAAGCACCAAAATTCAGTAGCAGGTAAGTAAGCTCGTCGTTTTGGAGTTTACTGGCGATATGCAAGGGTGTGGTGCCGTAGTTATCGGCCCTGTCCACATTTGCACCGTGTTGGAGCAGAAGCTGGACGAGGTTGATTGAGCCATTGGCTGTCGCCGCCTGTAGAGCCGTTTTTCCGTGCTGGAGACATTAGCAAAAGTAGGAAATATATCGGTGTACAGTTGAAATGGCCGAAGCTGTGTTTTTCAACCAAATACAGCTTAAAATACAAAAAACCTAGTAAAAAACTTGAAAGCCATACAGGACATAGTCACTTACGCATTCAAAATTTCTGCAGGAAATTTTGCGGAGGAGACAAGTTGTGGTGCTTGTCATAAGAAAAAAAGTACGGTTGGAGGTGGGAGGGGATGGAATGGCTATTTCCAGCCTATCAGGCGTCAACAGATAGCTATAAATCAAACCCAATTTTGACTAACCCGGTAGAGTTAATGCTGACTTCTCAAAGAATTCGGGTTCCACTCCCGAGGCTGGAATATGATTGGCTGACGAGGACTAACAAGTCGTAAATGCCCATTTAAGTCTTCGAAATTTCTCTCGGCACTCCCTCTGCACCATTATTAATCGCCGTGCGACAACCGAAGCCCAACGAGACGAGTATATTCCATAACCTGACCAGAGAACGACCCTTCCAGTGCCTCGCAGAGGCCACAGATTTTCAGTTTGTTATTTGGCACTAGGGTAAACATTCCCAAGCCGTATTGGCGGAGGGAATTGAAGGTCGTGGCCAGTCACGGTTATTTTTTCTGCTCATCGTGCACTTTATCGAATTCTCAATAAAATCCTTGAGTTTTCGGGTCTCGGTCAGCGCGTCTGGAGCGGGAATCAATCATGTATTATGACCCCTTGGTATAATACACTTGTGATTCGAAGACAATGGACGTCTGAACCGCGGAACTTATCAGCTTGGTTCTGGGCTGAACTATCTGACGTTCTCCGAAAAACCTGAAGTTTGATAAGCCGCCCAACTGCACGGACCTGCATTTATAAGGCCATCGAAAATGTGAGACGTGCATTTCCCCAGTTCGCTTACTGTCCTCATTCGAGGACTGGCTGAATGAGAAGTGCATACTTCCGCCTGCGCTTGTACTCTGACGCAAAATGAACTGCTCTCCCTTGAGGCGAAACATTCCGTCCTGTTAATTTTTTAAGAGTAAATTACTTTGCGTTTCGACTTGAAGGTACATGAGACTTGCCAAAATCTCTGGATTAGCTACTTAGCGAAATCAATACTCAACGAGCGCCTTTTTCGGCTTCCATCGTTCTCACGGTTCTATCCACGTGAGAACTCGTCTGTCTCAAGATGTCCGAAGATAACAGCAAAAAAGCACATGCAATTTCATGCAGAGAAAATGTATGACTCTGTAAATGGATCGAGGTTCATGCTTCGAAGTCTTCGGGCTGAAGGGGGACAATAAACCTGCTCCTGTTTCTCGTCGATACGGCCATCTACGCAAGTTGTGTGCAAAGAAACAATAAACAACAGATTGATTCGAAAAATAATTTATATATCGCCTTTGAAACAGAAGGTTTGCCAAGGAATAATCTTTTGCAATATCATGCAGTCATCACGTATGAAAACGGCTAGATCGCAGTTGGTAGCCAGGCCCCGTATTACGGGTGGCGGGGGGGATTGTCTACTGGGACTATTTTTTGGGGTTCCATAATCACATATGACCCATTTGGCTTCTGGTTTACGTTTGAGGTTAAAATTAGGGTACCGCTTAATGGTTTCCGATTTTTGGGTTCTGGTTATACTTTAGGCTTAAGTTTTCTGGCTATGGTTAGGGTTTGAGCGTACGATTAGGTTTCAGTATTACGGTTAGGTTTTGCAGTTACGGCTATGTCTAAGGACTACGGTTCCGTTTACTTTTTCAGTTAGGGTTAGGGTTACCGATAAGGTTAGTAGTTAACGTTTAGGGTTGAGGGCAAGGCTAGGGTAAAGGTTAGGATAAGGGTTAAGGTTGTCGTCCGCTTCCCCATTCCTGGCTACCAACTGCGATCTAAACATGAAAACAATAACATACTTCAATTAACCATAGAAAAAATTGAAAGCAAGTGTGGCACTTCCCTTGTGATTTTTTGGTCGACATCCCTTTAACGCTAATGGTACTAGTCGCACCATGGCAGCAGTGTCAATAATTATGGTGACATTCGCAGTATTTTCACTATAAGTTGATTGTTTTTTGTGGCGATAGTGTTACCTGTAGCGTTAGTAGCATTAGTATTGGTAATATTTTTGTTTGCAATATTTGCAACGTTAGTAGTGTAGTCAGTATTATTAGTAGTGGCAGCAAGTTATAAATAATCATGCGACTTGTAAATGTCCTCCATTTCTCACGTTCCTCAATCATGCATTTTTATGCCACCGTATCCCTCCCCCCCTTACCCAACCTCACACGCGTGTACAAGTTCTCGTGCGCTTCAGTGCTCACTGCGAGACGGCTCTAACTGTTTGAGTTCCTTCTAGATCTACTAGCAAAAAATTCACACGAGCATCCGCATGTCTGATTGTTTTATGAGCTAAGAAATCCGGTTGTACTTGCCGTGTGCGTGCATTCATCAATTGCTCTACCCGAGGACCAATTTTACTCGCAATTTGCGTTACAAAACGAGAAAAAAAGTGTGTGTGAAAATTCGCTGAGGTCTCCAGGGCGGCCGAATCCAGCAAGACGCAGGCTAAGCCGAAACCCACAATAATCGCAGGTCATTTTGCACGATGCCACTGACCTTATATCGGCGTGATTGGCTGCCATTGGCCTACCACAAAAGCTGGGATATGCATTTACGCAAATGACGTCAGTTTCAGCCTCTGCCTCCCACTGTCATTCAAATATCGCACTAAACACAAGCCCCTTAATTAACATTTCTCATTTTTACCTAACGATGTCCTGGGAATTTGTTTCGCTCACCGATTATTTACCGCCAGGTTTATTTTGCATTCGAATTGAAAGGAACGGGGTTTGATACAACCTTTTATAATGCTTTGTTCTAATAATTTACTTGCGTTGGTGTAGACTGAGGCTTATATTGGCAAACGTGAGCATTGGTCCTGGATGTTTGGTCAAATTGCATAAGTCAGCACATGTGGAAAACGGGGAACTGATGGAAGCGAATAGGTGAGTCGCAGACTGCCTCTGATGATGGGTCGCATTCTCTTCTGAACGAGGGAAGTACTTGATCCTCCATCCTCTTTTCTGCTACATATCCTCGAGTGTGCTAATTTTTCCGATAAATCCCACTCGGCTCGATCATTGTCACGAACGTCTATTCCCTGTCATCTTTTAGTTAAGAGACTTGCCTCTCGAATTTAAACGTCCTCATCGCCTGTGTAGTGCACCTTATCAAAGCTGCCTCTATGACAATCGATACACTGGGATGGAATCAAATTTGCGGCGTCTCCCTGACACCAACCCCTATCTAATGCATTCTTTTGTTTCGCAATTTACACCAGGTGCCCCTGTCGAACAATAGCGATGTCGAATCGACAGCAAACTCCTGTCCACCAAAGTTGACACGAGGCGAATAGCCTGTAAGCCGAATCATGTCTGAGCAGAGACTACGTGAAACTGTTCTGGACCCCGCACTAGTTTCCCTCATTGTCGGTCGTGACTAGAGTACCTTGTTTGTCAATTCGATCTGCGCTCCGTGTTCCAACAGTAGTTTTGCCACTTTCTCCTTGTTATGCTGACAAGCGAGGAGCAGAGGTGTTGATCCCACGTAATCCCGGCAGTTTACGTCTCCAATGGTGTCGAGTAGGAGCTTCGTCGTGCCCTCATATCCTCTGGCAGCGGAGAGATGGAGTGGAGTGTACCCAAGCTACAAGAAAACAAGGAGTTGGGAAAAGCATTGACAGCGGACCAAGGGGAAGCAGTGGGCTAAATCAAAGGTGAACAAATATGTGGGTATTAAGTGAACTGCAGTTACTTGATCCCAAGACTAAACAGAATGAGAAACAAGACTTCTGTCCCCTCCATGAACAACTCGTTACAGAGAAATGTTTCAATGATTTCATTTCCAGTTAAAACCCTATGAATTCAGTTGTCAGGGGATTCTTCCAAAAAGGAACACCTCCGGCGTCGGAGACTTTAATGAGTACGCATGGAAGTCCACATATTTTCTGCTCTTCATCTGCTTCCATGACATTAACGTGTCTGCATATAGCCTTGCTGTTATGTATACAGTCAACACGGTGAGGTCGAAGTAGGAGAAGAGCGAACACCTCCACCATCCTTGGACATTTCCTATTAACAAAAGTGTCCCTTTTAAGTTGTGTGATTTTGGGCTGGATTATATAGTGGGTTTGTACGCAACGGACAGCCATGTCTACGAAATATCTCTACTAATGCGACAAAAATGTGTAAATCAATTCTTTTTCATCGATTATCTGGCCTCGTCTTGGGACTTTTATGCTTCCTTGGATCTTCAGGAAGATTCGACCGTAACGCTTGCATTTTGATAATATCAGCAAATTGGCATCCCATGAAATAATAATAATAATAATAATAATAATAATAGTTATGAAGAAAATCTCAGGTGTCTGTGCGTTTACCAGTCATCGACACTTGTAAGCGAAATAGTCTTGGAGACTGAATAAGCTCTCTCTTTCTCGCTCTGAACGTCGGAAGCGAATATCGATTAGTTTCTACGGTCGCCGAGCGTGGACGAGATAGCTAAAAAACGAGACCGCTTGTGTGAGATGGGCAGCTGATATCTCGACTCCGTTCTACAATAAATATTCTCGATCTTTTTTCTGACAGTCTGCCATACCAATCGCTCTAGTTTTCTTCAACTATACACTGCACCGACTGTCCGAAGCATCATCAGCATGCGTCTTACTATTTATAAAAATATTCTATATTAGTTGATCTGTTGAAACCAATCTATTGACGGGAATAGGTTGCCTGGAATGACCTCCGACTGACTTTCCCAGCTAAAAGTGCTTTTAGCCCCATTTTTCTAAAATCATCCTGTAAACGTATCTGAACATTGTTCTCTGAACAAAGCAGGACAACTGCGTTCATCTCCTAAATCAATGAATATCGGCGAGTGCTGCTTACAAAGTTTGGTACAAATCGCAGAAAGTAATATGTCGATGACTGGCGCACTCCATTGTCGACTTCATTACACTCCTTACCATTGTAGAACAGAGTAGGAGGGACATCGACTCCGAGCCTGACTTCATAAGAGTTACCTTAAGAGGTCTTGATTGTGGTAAATGGGTGGGGAATAGCCACAGGTTTAAGCTGCCGCGCGTACTATCCGATCAATTTCCTGGGTCACCTAAGTTAGGTATTTCCAGCACTGTTATCACGCTGACGAACCCCACAGTACCGTGCTATCTGGCGTTGCGGACATCAGAAATATGAAGTAATGATAGTTAACCTACCCAATTTCGGGAAGTGCAGTCAGCTCCATGATTTAGCAAAAGGCGTAGAGCAGACACGCGTCCCCTCGCGGCAGCAATGTGGGCTGCCCTGTAGCCATTTCGACCGACTGCGTTTGCATCTGCGCCCTTGGAGAGGAGGAGGGACACCGAGCTGTCGAGGCCGCTAATGATGGCGTAATGCAGGGCCGTGTAACCCTCCTGTTTAAATAAAAGAGGAAAGACATAATAGCAGGCGAGAGTAGGAAACTGTCACGGTCTCCGTGGAATTAACACTGTCACTGGACGCCTTTCTGTCATCTGGCTCCCGGAAGACCTATTTTTCCAGTCGAGTTGAGCGTTACTAATTCTTTTTTTTCTACTGTGCACTTGAATGATTCATAAAAACAAGTTTGGATGTTTGTTCCGGAGGTGGGGAGGGGGGGGGGGCTACGCACGTCATTGTGGGTTAAGCACGCCCGTCTTAGAGTGCTTTAACAGGAGTCAGCTCATACAACTGCGTCGCATCCACACGGAGGACGCCCGAAGTTCAACAGTAAGGTGGTCGATGCGGGTTAATAGAAGTCCCGAAACATCCGTTCGCGGACACCGTTAACCTCAATTTTGGTCCACTTACTAGGCAGAACCAATTCTTTCCCGCTGCCTACGACATCAAGACAGTCGGTCGTCATAAAACTTTTTAAAAGACAAAATACTTTGAAATGTTACTGATACTGAATATAATCAGGTACCTAAACGAAGGAGACGAATACCACAGTTTAGAAGATGCCTCAATAACTGAAACAAGCAGAGCAATACAGAAGTATTTTTGACATAGCCAAGGCCGTTGCAACGGTCATTTGTGGCTTACTAGCCGTAAGAAACCAGTCATACTCCGACCACCGTCTACACGCCTGAGGTCTGAGCCCGAAGTATATGAAGGTCGAATAGCAACTATGTCATTGTGCTTAGAAATAACATTTTATTGACTGCGTTCTGAGACATTCCATCAACTTTTTTTGCAAGACCATAACTGGAAAGTTCGTTTTGCCTCTATGACGATTGAAGATGGGATATAAGCCAAAAGAGATCAATTTGAGCCTCCCGTCTTTGTCTTTATGGTTTCTTGACTATCGACTGTCAGTCATTGGGGGATCATTTGCGTCGGTTTTTAATCGTAAGCTCCAAACAAAACGGAGCTGTGACGTGTACCACTCCCATGTCAGTGATTGTCCTTAGTCGTTGCCTAGGGGATATGTGCCCCTGACTCAAGTGATAGGACGTCTGGCTCAGTGATTGACTGGACTAAAAATCTAACTTCAAGCCATCTCTCGGGGCGTTCCCCAGTTGAAGACAGCTAATATGCAAGAGGTTGCCGTTTCAGTTTCCTGTTTTTTTTTCAGTAATATCCCCCGGTTTGTCGCAGCTTCAAATTGTGATCTTATTTTCGCATCTTATCACGCCGCTAAGAGTAAACTAATCCCAATACGATGCAAATAGTCTTGAAGTCGCCGCAGGTGAAAACTCAGTCGTTTGCGGTGACAGTAAAAGGTCACGTTCTTGAAGTGGAAAGACCAAAAAATTTTCCTTGTCTTACCATAACCAAACTAAAAGATAAATCATAGTACGGGTTAATAGCTATTTTAATTCTTCTCTAGTTTACTACGTTTTCTTAGTTTCCTCAAAAGTTACCACACTCCTAGCTGGGGTGGAGAGTTAACGAGAGTACTGCTGCTGAAACTGAACTTGTCCATTATGCTCGAAACAATATGCGCGGTTATTGGGTAAGTTGGCAGATTTTGAATAATTTATTTTGACCCAATTGTAAAAAACTCGGCGACCGCAGTGGGATTTGAAAGAACGACTGCAAGCGAAAGGCTTGAGTATAGCCTACGCTCAAATTACCTGATCCATGGGGTCCATGGGGACCCGGGAGTTTAATAGCAATTGGGGTCTAATTACCCTCCAGCCTACTGCAACGTAGGTGATTAAACTCAAGACTCCCGTTGGGCCCCGTAACCCCGGCTTTTAGCACACTGTGATAGATTTAAGCACGTCAAATTGCTTATAATGAGGAAAGTGCGCTGAGTTGTCGACCTGTCTTCATACGCCCAGGCACCAGTCAACTGTAAAATCAAAATAAGAGGAGGCGTTCACCGGGCGGGGTTTATTGGAGGTCCGACGTCTCGAGCAGTTGATTCGTCTACCCATCTTCAGAGACTGGAAAGTCCTGCGCACAGCTCCCCTTATATGGCGCACTTTGTTCAATGTGTGATCCGCCAATGCCGCCTGTGTGGTTGCATTTAACCCGCACGTTACCGTGACCTGAATCACCCCCGTCGGCCGCGGATATGACTGACGGCCCCGATTGTCCCGCGCCGAGACTGCCCCTCGTTACGAAGGTTCGTAAAGTCAGGATAGGCGGGAGGTAAATTGATGTGGCGGTTGAGAGAGCAGTTGGCAGACATCCAGGCCTCTTGCACTTGCCGTGGTGTATGATCACCGCCCCGACCCACAATCTCAACGGCGTCAAAGTTGCAGATGTGTCCCATTTGCGCGGCATGGGTTGCTACCTCCGACTTTGGGTCCAACCTTCACACGACCAAAGTATGCTCGTGCATTCGCGTTTGCAGCGAGTTGGATTCAGCCAAACAGGCGGTATTGGCGGATCACACATTGAACCAAGTGCGCCATATAAGGGGAGCTGTGCGCAGGACTTTCCAGTCTCTGAAGATGGGTAGACAAATCAACTACTCGAGACGTCCGACCTCCAATAAACCCCTCCCGGTGAACGCCTCTTCTTCTTTTTATATGTCACTTGGGAATCGCATTTTCACTACTATTGATACAACTGTAAAATGTCTGATGCCGAAGTGGGAACAGTGACTGACAGAGCTAGGGGGCCTGTCTTCGCGCTCCACAGGCACGAACTAATCCCCCAAACGAACACACCCGAATTACACAGACAAGGGGATAGAACGGTCAGATCTCACATGCAGCAAATGAACCGCACGGAGAAAGGACCCCCACTCGCACATGAATGGCTTTGAAATTACGGCTAGACAATGTGGCAATCGAGAAAGATACCAAGTTCTCCTGAAATGCCATTAAGTGGCGTGCCTTTTCATCAGCAGAAGCTCCTGGAAACCGCGGAACATGCGATTTTTTTTACAGAATCACCAGTTAGATTTCGAAATGTAATCTCATCCATCAGACTCTTTAATCACAGACTTCACTTTACGCGCCGTCAGGGGTTTCTACTCTGAGAGGGAGGATTGGATTGCTGGATTCGTATACCATTAATAAATATGCCATGATTTCAGTCACTTGTAGTCGTCCCTACTTCCCAAAGCAACGTTCTGCTCCAGCAAAGTCAAATCTTGTAGAGTTGATCTGTTCAAACCCACGATCCCCGTTCTACTTCTTCTTTTTTAGGTTCCCCGTTTAATTACGCCGTATGCCTATAATATGCAGGCAGAATGCTGATCTATTCACACCACACTGATTAGCAGAATTATCAGTGTGCAAGTCAGTGCCTAACCCCAGTAGTTCCTCGTCAGCCATTGTCGAATTCTCGACATCCTGAATGGCCAACTGCATGTGTAAAAATTTCTCACCGATCTTTGACTGATACCCTGTCTGAGAAAAGTCGCAGCAGATTCGCGCAAAGCACTTTGACGGGGAGACTCTACTGATCGCGGAAGACTCAACACCTAGGAGTAGCCTGTTTCGCCGCTGTTTTATGTCAGCCCCACGTGGGGAAGAAATGTTGCCCCAGACGACCATTCTAGGGCCAGTTATTGCTAATTTAAGTATTCTAAAGATAATCCTGACATTCTGACAGACCCTCACGAACTTGCACCGGTGGGTTCGAAAATTCTGCATAGTTCGTATGGCATAGTTCAAGGTCCAAGGGCTAATGTAGACCTGCCTCAGTTGTATCAAGCGTCAGCCGAAAAGTACCTAGACATGCGCTGTTCAAGTTGTAATTAAATAGCACTTTGTATGTGCGTCAGTTTTTCAAAAAAATAAACCAGCCTCGTTAATAATGAGAGCGAAAGACGACGGAGTGTGGCAATCCAGGTCAAACCTTCATGCAGCTAAATCATTATGAGTCGGTTAACTATGTGGGACTTCTTTTCTGTTGTGTTCCTCTATCAGAACCGGAAGTGGGTTGCTGAATTTAGCGACCAGGAGCTGATTCACGACGATCTCTCGCAAAAGAGTTCTAATCCAATCAACGCAAAATAAGAATATTCTGAAAATTCAATAATAGTGACAGGACAAGCATGGTTTCTGGACTAGAAAATTACGTTTATTTGCTTTATTGAACCTATATATGCGTCAAGGTGTCCTAATTGGTCACCTAAAATCTGTCCAACACTTGAGCATCTTTCCTCCCGCGCAAATGACACGAAAGCCACACTCGCCCACCGTTTTGCATAGAACACATAAATATGTCTGGGAAGTGACTGTGAAGTATAAGGTAGGTTTTATCCGAAGCCTATTGTTATTCTATAGGCGGAGCTCATCACACCCCAAACACACCATGCATACCAAGAAACTCCTATTGACCCAACTGTGAAAAACTCGGCGCCTCGGTGGGATTCGAACCCACGCAGTAAGGGGAAGGCTTTAGCGCAGCCAACGCTCTAACCACCTGAGCTACGAGGCCCCGCCGGACGACACGAGTTTAGTCACATTTGGGTCAAGTTACCCGCCCAACCTACTGCAACGTCTGGAATCCACCAAATCTGATACAGTAAGTTGACTGCCCAAGCAGGATTTCCTAAGTAATTCACCTAGAATCCACCAGATGACTACCAGGCTCGCGTAATTCATTGATATTTTGGCAGATTTTGAATAATTCTTATTGACCCAACTGTGAAAAACTCGGCGCCTCGGTGGCATTCGAACCCACGCAATAAGGGGAAGGCTTTAGCGCAGCCAACGCTCTAACCACCTCAGCTACGAGGCCCCGCCGGACGACACGAATTTAGTCACATTTGGGTCAAGCTAAAGCCTTCCCTTACTGCGTGGGTTCGAATCCCACCAAGGCGCCGAGTTTTTCACAGTTGGGTCAATAGGGATTATTCAAAATCTGCCAAAATATCAATGAATTACGCGAGCCTGGTAGTCATCTGGTGGATTCTAGGTGAATTACTTAGGAAATCCTGCTTGGGCAGTCAACTTACTGTATCAGATTTGGTGGATTCCAGACGTTGCAGTAGGTTGGGCGGGTAACTTGACCCAAATGTGACTAAACTCGTGTCGTCCGGCGGGGCCTCGTAGCTCAGGTGGTTAGAGCGTTGGCTGCGCTAAAGCCTTCCCCTTACTGCGTGGGTTCGAATCCCACCGAGGCGCCGAGTTTTTCACAGTTGGGTCAATAGGAATTATTCAAAATCTGCCAAAATATCAATGGAATACCAAGAAACGCTCCCAAATGCAGCACTTACGACTCTCAATCCCCCATCATGACCACATCTAACAGCCTCACCGCCCCAGCCGATTCTACAGCCCCGAACGTATCATGCCATCACTGCCACCACACATGTGCATCACGCATCGACCTGGTCGGCCACTTGCGGACCCGTCCACAGAGACTGTCGAGCTAGTGTCAGGAGCAGCGGCATACAGCCACCGCACCCGCCTCAACTACCCATACTGTCCACGCACATTCCCTCACTGCATGGGCCTACTACGTCACATGCAGCTTTATGAAAATCCGCAATAAATCACCACAGACATGACCGCATCACCACGCTTCTCCTATCAGCACATTCATTATTCATATCCGTTTCCAAAATCCCACATCCCCGGCACCTCTCATGCAAGTAGAAGATGTGCTTTTCGACTCCTTTCTCCGTGCAGTTCCTTTGCTGCATGTAAGATCTGACCGTTCTATCCCCTTGTCTGTGTAATTCGGGTGTGTTCGTTTTGGGAACTAGAGCGTGCCTGTGGAGCGCGCAGACGAGCGTTCTAGCTCTGTCCGCCACAGCAACCACTTCGGCATCAGACAATTGACTGGTGCCTCTGAGTATGAAGGTAGGTCGACGACTCAGCGCACTTTCCTCACTATGAACAATCTGATGCGCTTGAAGCTTTCACGGTGCGCTAAAGGTCGTGGCTTGGATGGTTGTCATTTGACGGGATAACTCGGACTTCACAGTCAGCCTAGTGTGTGTTTACGTGGAGTGGCAGACCAGTGGCCTGAGAATCAGGCTTCAATGGGTCCTTAATAAGGCGTCTATGGCACTCCGACCCCGTAGAATCGCAGCCGGTGTGGTGGCACGCCTGGGGGCGACTTCGGTCGCGCCAACCACCTGCACCTTCTCCTGCATCCGGTCTTCTTGCCTCAATTTCGACACCAGGTCCAGGTGCATAAGGAGGAGAGAGTGCGATAGATGTAGCCCAAGTCTACTGCCACTGGAAACTAATTCACACGCAAGCCGCCGTCTTTGCTCGCGCTATGTCGTGGAGCATACGGTGTACATCGTCGAAATCCACGGTCGGACTGTCATATAGTTGTGTTAAAGGGCGACTTAAACTTGGATCACATATACAGTGAGAAACAAGCCATATCAGTTTGAGCCGAAGCAAAAGTAGATGCTGTTAAGTATGAAGAAGGAGACACGATCGCTGGGCGAATAAAGCTCTCGTCCCAGCGATCATGTCTCCTTCTTCACGACTGCTTCCTGGGACTCGCTTCTTCGCTTCTATTGGCTGTTAAACATACCGATCCGTCGCTTCTGACGTTTATATCAGCAGTTACTGAAATCGGAATGCTAGTTGATGCACACTGCATATTGGTGCCAGAAAAGCCAAAGAAGCCTTAAAAATGCGCATTCGCTGGAAGAATAGCCTCATAGTTTCTGGTTCATTTCCATGGGAATATTTTATATTTTTTACCCTCAGTCATTCTTTGGTCCGTGTGTAGGCCCTCTGGGGGGATTAATTATGAATACGTAGCTAATTAACTGCTACTGACGAGGTTTTCATTTGCTTGTCGACATGATTTCAGGCAGTGCTCACTTATAAAGTAAGCTGGAAGAGTCAATTTCTTAGTACGCATATGGGTCTAGGGATGAAATAATCTGAACATTGATGAACGCGCATATAAAGGTAGTAAGTCTTAAAAGCGATAGGCCTGGTGATTAACATGTCTGTATACCTGTAAAAATTGCCCTTATCTCTACAATTTTCTAGCTAGCACTTGTCTTTTAAGGTGCCCCATGTTTAAACAAAGGATGATGATTAGAATTATGGACGAATTAAGTTATCAGTTAGTCCATATGTAAAACCGGAAACTCGAACAAGTTGGCAACACTGAATAATGCCTGGTTGTTATCCACGGAGACTTGGTGACGCTGTAAGTAATAGAGCATTTTTCTGGTCCTACAGCCAGCATCGTAAGACTCCTACAGATTTGCTAAAAATCGTTGTGTTTAAATTGTTTTGATATCGAATGAGATTAGCGCCTTCTAGTCTACCATCACGGTTGGTGCATATGGGCAGGTCCATCTTGCCTTAGCCTCCCAGACCTCGGATCGAAAGTCAACCCCTACCGCGTGCGAGAGTACATTTTACTTGCTTCATGCGCATCTGATTCGGACTCAAATATCAAACGCCGGCCTGGATTGAGTAGCACTAGCACGTGATGGCAACCAAATGACAATTCCAATGCGTCTGTCCTGACCCAGCTTCTGAGCCCACAGATCATCAAACCTTAAAAAAATAATAGTCTAGCTTCAGCGCACTCTTCTGACATGAAAATTTACGTTGTCAGTTTCGGTGGGAAGTTGTGGTATTACGTATGTAGATGATAGAACGCCAGCTACCCCGAAAGACAGTCGTTAGGCTACATCAACAGCCGATGGCATGGTTGTTCACAGACAAAAATTCACGAAACTCACGTAGTTCGTTTTCAGGCTTTTTAACACTTTTGTCAGGATTCCAGAGACTTTCTGAACCTCGTCTCGTATTCTGTGTTGCAAGCGGGAGGGGTTTCCGAGTAGATAATAAATAACTATCGCATTCATTCGAATACCATCACCACCGGAATTTCTCGAGCCTCCCTATTTAAATGTACTTTTAGTCTGGCATTTCAGAGAGTCGAACTTGCTGTTCGTTTTGAAAAAGGTTCCACTGCGATTTGCAAGAAAGACAGCGGTCACGGTGACTATGCGTAGGTCGAAAAAAATCGGATAAAAAGCAACAGACTCGACAGCACGAGAACTAATTAGCGACGGAAGGTGCGGACCACCTGCTGTAATAATGCGATGATCCTGTCATCGGCTAGCATGTCGACTTCCCCTTCTAAGTCTTACATGGTTGCATGGACTGTAGGGAGCAGCCAGTTGATTGCAAAGTTTGAGAACGGAGACAGTGAAAACTTTGCACTGTCTGAGACAATGCACTGTTCATATGCTGAGTCCATTATCGATCCAGTAAAGAGTTTGCGCGGTAGGGGATCACACGGCCGGCATATAGTGAATTTCACTTGGTCCATAACTAACAGGCAAAATGAGTGAAAGACCAACATGTTGGGAATTTCCAAAGAGAAAATTTAATTTCCTTAGCAATCACTACTACAGTAGATGGGCCTACTTATGAAATGTCAATCGAAATTCCGAAATGGGTCTTCGATTGGAGAGGATTAACTAAGTAGGGTTGCAAAACTAATCATTGCGCGACATAATTCTACGATAATTCAGTTATCTCAGAATGCCGGCTTTTAAACAAAGTTCTTTACGGCTGCATGCAAAAACTTTACTCTGTAAAAAATGACTACTTACGTAGCATGCATATTTCTCACTGATTTTCGATGCACTTAAAAATTCAATTATATTTCATGCGAAATATGTGTAGAAATATTCATTTTTTGTTAATTCAGTAGAAAATGACGTTTTCTTCCAATCTGATATTCGAAGAAAGGATACAATTCGGTTTTAAAAAAGGTTCTAATTGTGAGATTTTTTAATACCGTAAAATGGCCCTTCATAAAACGTCATGTCTCCGCATTTACCAATGTGGCTTGCAAAGTTAACATTACACCTCAAATCCACTGCTACATTTTATGAACCTCATATGGTCTCCTCTTCATACTGTAGAGAAATGTAAGGATTTCCGCACGCGGGTAATATATGGCTTGTAGTTTGGAGACCCTGAATGCAGGTGTAACGGCAGATCGGGTTCAAAATTATTCGGGAATTGGAAAAGTTTTTAAAAACCGAATTATACCCTTCCTTCCAGCATAAAATTGGAAAAAGACGTAATTTCCTACCGAATACGCAAGAGACTGAATATTTTATGCATGTTTTTCATGAAATATAATGGACTTTTTGAGGGCATCGAAAATCAACGAGAAAATGCATGCTATTAGAGTAGTCATTTGTCACAGAGTTTGATTTTTGCATGCAGCCAGAAAGAAGTTCGTTCGAAAGGAGTCATCCTGAGGAAGCTAAATCATTCTAGAATTATGCTGCGCGATGCTAGTCTGATAACCCTACTTAATTAATCTTTTCGAAACGAAGACGCATTTCGGAATTTCGGTTGACATTTCATGAGTTAATCCACCTACTGTAAGCAGTGGATTCGATTTTATTTGCATAACACCTCTAAAGCCTTTGGTGCTAGATGTCACCTGATGATAAGGAAAAAGAGTTTACGTTTCCTACAGGACAAATAAGCACAAACCATTTGACCTGTGGGTACCCACCCTCGAGAAGTGATTTACGTCAGAGCCATATTTGATGAGTAGCTGAATTACCGCTTCCTGTTTCTTTTGACAGGCCTGGATCAGAGGGGTACATCCAGAAAGGTCGATAGCTTCGGGGTCCGCTCCACGTAGTAGCAATTCCTCCGCGCCTTCAACGAAACCGACCTGTGCGGCTAGATGGAGGGCAGTGTTCCCGTCCTGAAAATTTGAAAAGAGCAAATCAGTATAGCAAGCTAAAGGCTCTTATTGGGCTTTTGTTGTCTGACAGTATCTTCACTGCCCTGATGTGTTATCGCTAACATTTTGAACGCTCAAAATAGCTTACGGATATACTGTCCCAATTCAAAAATGCATATATATATATCTCTGCATATGTTGGCCTTTGGTGGAGGGTTTGCTTACGTAAAATAGGTCTATTCTAGGTAAGCATCTCTACCTGTTCCACTCTCCCTAAAACCTTTAGACATTGGTAGCATTTTAAGTTCATAATTTAAATAAAGGTACGTCCTCTTCACGAGATTCGCGAAAATGCCAGACAACTGATGAAGCCTGCTGTTTATACAACTAGCCCTAAAATAGACTATGAGATTAGAAAAAATCACGCAACAAAAAAATTTGCAGTGAACGGGAATCGATGATCCAGATGCGTATCGATGCTTGGTCGGTTTCGAGGTAACTCGCTTCTCTACTGTGGGCAGCGACATGCTTCGTTCTTTGTGTCAGTTTTTCCCAGGAAAGGCCTAAAATGCTTTGATATTTTAGAATTTTATCCCGAAGCAAACGCTTTGGCAACGGTAGGTGAAGAAAATCGTGCGGTTCGCCAAGAGGCGATTACCACAGCGAATCAATTTTTTGCTGAAAGTTTCCAATATATTCGTTTACAACCCATTTCCGCTTGTAAGTTAGAGGTCACACGAAATTCGGAGAAGAGTTATTAATAATATTTTGGCAATTAAAACTAGAAGCACTACGAGGTACATCATGAAGGTCTTAACTGCGTGATACTAAAGCTTTCGGCAATAAAACGTTCTAGTTATTAGAAGTTACAGACGAAGTCAAATGTCTACGTAATGTCATATCCAGCATTCAGTCCCCGGTACAGTGCTGGCTGGCTTTCCGGCCCCTGTGAAATGGTCGGTCAAGCTAAAAATAAACCTGCACAATCATCGGGGGGGAGAGGAATAGGGCTCTATTCACTGAGTCCACAGGCGTGACTTCCATAGATTTGAGTCCATCCCAATCAAAGTCCTTTCTATCTGGCAAGTCTATTGCGTGCAGAGGGATGGACACCATGTAAAAGATTTTTCCGGTGCTTTTCCTATTCTTCCTGATAAGATGGAAACTGACCCACCGAAACAGGCTGTGACCTCCGGTCGATACCTCCACGGGAAAGTCAATTCCCACTCTAACCAGTTTTCACATGCAAAGCCGAAAGGGGATGGGCCTGGCTGGACAAAGTCTTTGGACAGGGTGATCTGCGCACACTGTACAAGCTACTTTGGAGGTACTCTCTGTTCTCGATCGCGACCGATAAGGCAACAAGCATGCTACTAAATGGCGGAGCATCTGACCCCGTTCGAATCTCGGGCCGGCATGATGTGGGTTTTCGGTTTGGCCGGCCGATGACAGTTAAGAAACCCGAAGTGTCATTTTAATTTCGCATTTCTCCGTCGTTATTCCTTTTAAATGTTGGCTTGTCGTTATGCGATCATCTGTGAGGACACCATTGAGCCTTTTTAAAATCCAAATGACGGAATCTGCTCTCTACATTAAACGGATCGACAAGACGCACAGATCGGCAAACTCAACAAACTTTTCCGAAGTTAAATTTGCTCCTTCTCAATTTTATCGACTGTATCCAAAGTTATTGTGGAATCTTATATCAAGACGACCTGAGTTGCTAACTAGCGTCCTCAGGGTACAGCTGTGCGTGTCTGTAAAACATATAATTAACATAAGCTCTAGCTCTTTTGCCAAAACAACCTTTGACGACCTCAAATATGCTTTTTTGTTTTGGTGTAAACCAGGTAAGTCAAGATGTAGGTAACAACGCTACTGTCGGAAAAAACTCACTTATTAAAATTTTGAAGTAGTAAATGGGTGTAATTGGACGCTCTAAAAAGCATTCGTAACGCCATCAACCAAATTTTGTTTTACCATGCGCTATCTCCTGGCATATACAAATACGGCATTAGCAAATGCGAAAAGACCCAACACAAAGTGGCTATTTTAATCTAAAAAGTTGCGCATAGCTCGTCGACCGTAGTAAAAATGCCATAGTATTTACTGCTCATTGTAAAGCGCGTTTTTATTAATAGAATAGGGCAGTAATTAAGCAGGGTCAAAGAAAATGGCTCCACAATAAACAGAAATGGGAGTTTCGTCATTTACGGCAAAACTGTTGACAACATAAGTCAGAAAAACGCACGAAAAGGCAAACTATTTTAGTTTTTATCCTAACTGTGGCTTGGAAAAAGATGCAGAACGTGACTATTCATTCACAAACGATTCTAGCGAAACAGTTTGAAGGAGAACATTTTAGAAAGGTTTTGTTTTTTAATCAAGGGAATATCAGTCGCAGTCTTTTGTCGTAGACGTCCATTGTCTTGGACGGTTACACTTCATACTCATATGAGCAAATAAATGTCAGCCAGATGTTTTTTGCGAAAAACGCCCGTGAACCCATTACACAAATGACCACTTAGAGGAACTGTTGCGATTTGCAAGTTATGATAGGAACAAACAATTGGTTTGAGCAATCAGCTGAAGGAACCGAAACCTGCCAAGAATTCGCTGACATTTACGGGTGTTCTCCGGCTCGACGGCTCCGTACGTCGCTCAAAAACATTCAGTAATTTTAAGGAGAACAGATTGTATTAACGCACTGAAAATTGTACGTTTTGACTGTATCTGTTACTTATACTTTCATTTCTTTTTTGCAGGACGGCTTCTTGGGATGGGAGCTCATGAAAATCTTTATTACTGCAGCATCGCTACACGAAAACTTAAAAAGACACTAGTCGTGGTCAACGTATCTGTCCCCACAGCACTCCAGAAAATCTTACAACTACAAAAAAATCTCACTTTTTTGAAACTACTAGGTTGCACTAAAATTCGTGACTTAGTAGGCTGCCAACTAACGGCATAACGCGATTTTCTCAATATAGAGAGTCAGGCTACAATGATTCCTTCTGAATGTGACCTCTATGGTACTTCCGCTCAGCTGGAATCCGGACCTCCCACCCGTCTCCTTGAAAACCTGGTCTATTGTGCGCGGGTTTTACACGCGTAGACGGACCATTTAGCCTTGTCAGTCACAGCTCCTGAATCCACCCCCAGTAGCCCAGACTCCCTCTTGCCACTGGCCTCAGATGGATGAGGGAAAAGAGAGTGCGGACGATGCTGCGAAAGTCCCCTCTCATCACAAACTCATTCAGGCGCAAATCACCGTTCTACACCTGCCCGGGTGGACACCGTCGTTGGCAAATGTCTGGCTGACCATATATGTATAATAGGTGGGTTAACTCTTGAAATGTCAACCGAAATTCCGAAATGCGTCTTCGTTTCGAAAAGATTAAGTAAGCAGGGTTGTCAAACTAGCCATCGCATAGCATAATTCTATAATGATTTAGCTACCTCAGGATGCCGCCTTTCTAACGAGCTTTTTCCCGGCTGCATGCAAAAACCAAACTCTGTGACAAATGACTACTTACGTAGCATGCATTTTCTCGTTGGTTTTCGATGCCCTCAAAAGGTCAATTATATTTCATGAAAAACATGCAAAAAATATCCAGTCTCTTGCTTATTCGGTAGGAAATTACGTCTTTTTCCAAATTTATACTCGAAAGGAGGGACATAATTCGGTTTTTAAAAACTTTTCCAATTCCCGAATAATCTTGAGCCCCTCTATCGTTACACTTGCATTCAGAGTTTCCAAACTACAAGCCATATATTTTCCGCATATGGGAAACCACACATTTCTCTACGGTATTAAGAGGAGACCATATGGGGTTCATAAAATGTAGCAGTGGATTTGAGCTATATTGTTAACTGTACAAGCCACATTGGTAAATGCGGAGACATGACGTTTTATGAAGGGCCATTTCACGGTATTAGGAAATCTCGCAATTATAACCTTTTTTAAAACCTAATTTTACCTTTCTTTCGAATTTAAAATTTGAATAAAGCGTCATTTTCTACCGAATGAGCAAAAGAATAAATATTTCTATGCATATTTTTCATTAAATATGATTGAATTTTTAAGTGCTTTGAAAATCAGTGAGGAATATGCATGCTGCGTAAGGAGTCATTTTTACGGTGCAGTTTTTGCATGCAGCCGTATATAAGTTTGTCCGAAAGCCAGCATTCTAAGGTAGCTTAATTATTATAGAAATGCGTTGCATGATGAATAGTTTTAAAACCCCACTTAATTAATCTTTTCCAGACGAAAACGCATTTTGGAATTTCGATTGGCATTTCATGAGTAAACCCTCGTACTGTAGTTTGATCCGTGTGCACCCATTCCTGTGTGAATATAGGCCCGACCTGCTGTGACAGGTGGCGAAATACTGGCAACCCTCGTTTCGACGCTATGCCCAACCTGCGGGTCGTCTACTCTGCCTTCTTGTAAACATTTGCGTTTCTGTTCCCATATGGTGGTCAGGAAGAATACAACCGAAACCGGGCTACATCAATATATCCGTATTTCCGAAAGACGCAGATGCATGTTCTGTGGCCTGGCTTGCTAACGACCTTTCAATCGTCATATACTCAGCTATGTTGACGGTACCAAGTCAATTGGAGTAATCTGATTTAGTCGTCAGGTTTTGGTTAAGGACAAGTCAAATTACACTTTTTGCTCTTTTCGTATACAACTTTGGTCTGCGTAATATGTTCAGTTTTATTTCAGACACATGAAGTATACCTTGTTCGGGTGACTGAGCATGGCGCCCGCGTCGAGTAACTTTTTCAGTTCTGTCAATCGACGGTAGTAGCAGGCCCAGTGTATGGCCGTGTAACCCCTCGAGTCCACCTTGTTTAAATCATTCGTCTCGGCCACACCATTGGTCAGATGCTTGGAGTGACCGTTTTTTAGGGCGTCCAGCACGCTCATTCGTAGGAAGTCAGGGGACAAGCGATAAAGCCAACTTCCGAATCACTTCCAGCGACGGAACTTCAAGGCTGAAATCGGAAAGTAGTAAACGTTTTCCATCAGGTTGAGCAACTGAATTTATAAGGAGTGCCCGGTGGTCATGGGGGGAGGGGGGCATTCAACTCACTTTATTTCTGCAGATATGACGGGATAAATTTACTCTGCTGTAAGGGCAACCCATTTGGCTGCTTCCTTCCCCACACCCTAATCACGGAACAGGGCAGTTGGACCGTCGATACGGACGATGTCCACTAAATGTCCCAGAGCATGATGAGAGCAGGAGTGGTGGCTTGTACGCAAATTACTTTATGATAATAGTAGACTTGCGCTGCATTGACCGCACCCTCCCTTCCCTCACTCTTCTGGGCTGGGTGTCAAGACATGATCAGGAACACCGAGGAGGGATCGGGTGTAACGAGCATGGACACCAACAAGCATCAGGCGTTGTCCGTTTTTATTGACAGCAGCGTCATTCCACGCCTGCGTTTGCGTTAGAGATTTGCAAACCAAAGGAATAGGCAGGGCCGATACACAGTCGTAGAGATTCAGCAGCTCGGAGCACCGTAATCGCAATTCGGAACCCCTGTTGAGCACAGCCAGTATGCGAACTTGTCGCAAAAAGATGCGGAATTTTCAACCGGTCGTTCCTTAATGCCAACTACTTACATAATTCCTACTCTTCTTCTTTCGTCCTTCCATGTGCCTCTGAAGTTTTGCTCACTTTACTAAGTAGGTGAATCGGGGACGGAGCGTCCTCTGAAAGTAGACCTGATCGGAAATTGCACGCATTTTGTTTGCATCTCAAGACTGGATCCATAATGTGACTTGGCAGCCTTCTTGGCTAAGAAAAACTCGTTCTTCTGTCGCCAGAGAAAGTAACTCAGGAAAACTTGCATTATTTCCTCCATAAAAATGGTTAGCTGGGCTTATTTATTGCCACATATGCAAATAATTAGCCTAGAAAACCGTTTGGAGTTGACGCGTTAAAGGAGACTTCTCGTTGACTTATCATCATGTATTCGTTTCTTGAAGTATAAACAAAGGGGTGCCAAATATTAATCCATTTATCGGACTCCTAAAATCGCTAAAGTATAAAGAGTACTCTCAGTTAGGTCCATTTTATGTAATTATCACAAAAATTAGCTGCTCATCTAGACTACCGCTATGTGCATGCATCCTTTTACTTGCTTTTGCAAGGATGGCTACTTCAGTTGACCTAATCAACACTCCCGTAAAGTAATAAGGTCATATATGGCCGTATGGCTTGGGAACGGGAGGTCAAAATGGGTAAACAGCCCCATCCATAATGATAATATCAACAAAGTCTTCAATGTACAGTAACGACCGATCTCATGAAACGTTGGCTGAAATTCTGAAATGTGTTTTCGATTAGGAAGGACTACTTAAGCGCGGTTGCAATACTGATTATCAAGCGGCATAATCCTATAATATTTAGGACTCGCCAGGATGTCAGCTTTTGAATTCACTGTTTTTCCATTCCATGTAGAAACTGTACTCGGTGGCAAATGACTACTTAATTAGCATGAATTTTTCACACTGATTTTCGGTAGTGCAAATTTGAATATATTTTATAGAAACCACGAACAAAAATATGCTTTCCTTTAGTCATCTGATAGAGAATCACGTCATATTTATGTTATACTCGAAGAGGGAATATAATTAGGTTTTAAAAAAGTTTCTAATCATGCGATTTTTAAGATCGTGCAGTGTTCACTCATACAGCATCGTACCCATCCGTTTACCACTCCTCCTCATGAAATGCACAGCATGGTCCGCATCCATTGCAAAATTTTATGGACTCTATACGACATCTTTTTTAAATCGTAGAAGAATATGTGATATTCTTTACGCGGAACGCATGCACTTTGTAGACTGAAATCACTAAGCGCTAATGCAACGACTGATCAGGCTCCAATTTATTCGGCAATAAGAAAACTTGATTAAACGCTATTTATATTCCCTCTTTGAGTATAACCTATAACTATGACGTGATTCTCTATCAAATGACTGAAAGAAAGCTTATTTTCGTTCGTGGTTTCTATAAAATATATTCGAATTTGCAAGATTACCGAAAATCGTTGTGAAAATGCATGCTAATTAAGTAGTCATTTGTCACCGAGTACAGTTTCTACAGGGAATGGAAAAGCAGTGAATTCAAAAGCTGACATCCTGGCGAGTCCGAAATATTATAGGATTATGCCGCATGATAATCAGTATTGCAACCGCGCCTAAGTAGTCCTTCCTAATCGAAAACGCATTTCATGAGATTGGTCACTCTCTTCACAATAACTCACTGCGACAGTGTTTGTCGGTACGGTGAAGGAGACAATAATCAGGCAACGTGTACAGGTTCAGTAAGTCCACAAATGGTCCATATAAGCCTTGCATACGTCACCGTCACAGGCTAAGCAGTCTATCATCACATGCGCATGATACCTTCTTAGTGGTTCAAGTGTTTACATGCTGCAGATCTAGGGTTACCCCCAGACTAAATTCTCCCAAATATCTTCTCTAATGCTAGCGTACAACACTATCGTTTGATAAATAACCTCGTTTTATGCATGACTTGGTGAGGAATTTGCCCAAGGAGAATATGAATCTGAAATTCTGCGGGCAGTAGTCCAGTTAGCCAGTCACTTTGTTACCCATCCGCCTAACTGCAGTTTTATGAGTGAAATGGACGAGCTAATGGCGAGATAATACGGTAAGCAAACTTGGTGTGAACAATTCAGACTCTTCACGGATAGTCAAAGGTGTGCTAAGGTATTCTCTTGAGGGAATGTATGCTCCAGTTTGCTGGCAACACTGAGCCACGCGGTTCGCCGTCCAATGTGTTTGAAGTTTATGCCTGCATTGGTATTCTAATAATGGGTCTCCGGAAAAGCCATTCCAGTCGGGCGAAGTGCTAACTCTGTTCTTAACTTAATCTTTCTTCTAAAAGATAAAATGTAGTGGCAAAGCGCTCGGTGAACAGAACCCAATGAAAACGACTTGAGTATTCGTCTGAAGGGTTGCACAAATTTTATAGCATATAACATGGTTTCAGAAGCAACCATTGCTAGATCCTGCATAAAATAGCCGCTGGAAATACATCACAATCCCCTTTGACTACCATGTATTTTGATAGATATGTGATATCTTATTGCAATCGTAGTTGACCAAGCTGCAGAAGAGGTTCTTACCTCGTATCTTTGAAAACGAACGGTCGGTAAAAAAATAATCAAAATTTCTTGAAAGACACGTTGCACATAAAATAGCTACTCACTCAGGGAATTCTCGTGACAAGGACTAACCAGCTACCTGCAATATCTTCGTCGACCTCTTTATATGGTTGGTAACGGACTGGCCGCCAATGTGCTGCGCTTGCAATGAGTCAGGCTTTTTACTGTGCGTCACTCAACATGCCGGCATGTTCTTCTTAAATGGGCCATATTCAACTCCCCACAGCCGGCACCGTTTTTGTTCACAAGTGTGCTCTCTGTTACTCGACCAAATATTCACAGGGTAATTCACTTCAAGAATGATGAGTATGAGAGAGTCGCTTAGCGGTCTATTTACAGTGGAAAAAATCGTCGTCCTCTTGTACTTTGGAATTTAGCCTCGCGGGCAGTCTCATGTCAATCAAAAATGGCGTAAAATGCAGATTGACAAAAGCCAAGGAGACTTTGATGGCTGTTTCTGGTCCACTGTTAATCAGCTCAGGTCTGGATAAACCGGGACTCGAACTGGGATTCCTTGGTCACTTTACGTCAAATCAAACGCTATTCTCCAGTTTACTGGTATTTATTCTGAATGAATAAAAACGGACGGAATAATTTTTCTCATGTTCTGGAGTCTTCATTCTTTACACTTGCTTGTTTATTCGTTCATAGTTAAGGTAAGTGACGCCACTCAAGAAAAGCTGTGATCGAAAATTGGATGTTCATTGGGAGTTCAGGGGTTTTTCATATATTTGCTTGTTAGACATACTTGAGATGTGTAAAATCCTTCTTTGAATGCGTATGATCACTCAGGTACCTCAGAGCACGCAAAAGCAGTAGAGATTCCCAGTTCATCCTATTGCAATTACAAATACCGCCAATAGCTGGCGTAGCAGTCAACATGTCCAACACTCTTAACTAGAAGTGTCGTTGGCTCAGATCGAATCGAAATTTCCTGAGGTATCTGCCGTTGACTGAGGCAATTCATGAACACAACAAAGACCTTGTTGGCAGGCGTGATCCTTGGTGTTTTGGGTTGAAACCCGGCCATGAAGAGGTCGTGAGGCGAAGGATGCGCAGGCATCATGACACATCCATCACAGTTATGAAAATTGTTTCTAAAAAGTAGCATGTAATCGGGTCTTGTTGCACTGTTGATTAACGTGATACATCTCCTCAGATTGATTAATGCCTTACGGTGTCAGTGCTTTAAGGGGAACAATTTTCGGTGATCTGCCCCAGCCAGACATTCAAAAAAAGACGCACTTCGTAAGTAGTGGACACTTTTACGTTTTCCTTTTTATTTTCGCACGCATTCCCCTATTTCATGATGCGTTAACCAAAATTTTAAAATGCATTTCTGATTCGAAAAGATTGCTCAAGCACTGGTGTTATATTGCTTATTGTACAGCATTTCGACCACGCCAGGATGCCGGCTTTTGAACAAGCTTCCTTTTCGGCCGTCTGAATAAACTATACCTTACGAAGAATGACTACCTATTAAGTATTCATTTTCACAATTGTTTTTTGATGCCTTATATATTCAAATATATTTTATAGAAAACATCATAAAAGTATTCTTTTCCTTGCCCATTTGGTAGCACATCACGTCTTCTTCCAATTTTATCCTTGGAGATAGTGTCAATTGGTTTTAAAAAACCTTTTACGATTCCCGAATAATCTTGAGCCCAGCCTGCCGTTGCAAAAGCATTCAGGGTTTCGAATTCACATGCGGTATAT